AAAAGTGGAGATTCCTACCTTAGACAAGGTCAGGAAAATCTCAGCTATTCTAAGACCATTAAAAATAACGCTCCTTTATTTGCTTACTGACATAAGTAGCACCAGAAGGCCTGTTAGGTTAGCTGGTGTTGTACTAACTAGACATGGAAATTAGTTTTCTTGCTAGTGTCTAAAGAAAGACAAAAGTAAAGAGCTGTAGCTTCTCTTCCTGAAAATTCGAGATGCGTAAAATAGTCTCAGATACAGCTCTAAAACAAGAGCACCAATATTGTCCTGACAGTTGCTGCTAATGATGCTTTAGAGCATGCGCTGTACAGTAAAAGTCAGAAGCTTTCTCTTTGCTGTGACAAGTCAGCATTAGCAGGAAGCACAGAAAAGTTGTAATATTGAGCTTTTGCTTGTTAAGTAGAAAAATACACCATGCATAGTACTTCTGTCTGATTGTGTCAGGTCTTAGTAACATGCTGTCCCATCTTTTTATTAGAGCAACTTTACTGGCACCCTTTGCCTATAAACCTGGTGATTTGTATATAATTACAGTAGTCAACTCTATAGTTGCCCAGCAGGCTAAATTTAAACTCTTTTACATATATAGCAATGAACTTTGAAAGTCTGGTGGCTTTGTATAATTGGATATCTTTGTTGATTTGAATGAACCATAACCAAAGTACCCTGGACATGCAGGGGAAGAAGACAAGAAAATGAATGAAGAACTAGAGTCTCAGTACCAGCAAAGCATGGACAGCACGATGTCTGGGCGGAACCGGCGCCACTGTGGACTGGGTTTCAGTGAGGTACTAAGTTGTTTAGCCACTTAATGATTTCTCCTGTGCTTCACTAGATGATACATGGCTTGAATGTTTAATGACGATGAGTAGTAGCAAACTTAGGCAATTTGGGTTAAGGCACAAACGTGCTGCATTCATTTGATTTGTTTGTGTACATTGTGGTAACTATTTAAATGTCCTGAATGGTTAATGTTTCTCATTGTTCAGAGAAGTGATATGACATGCATAATGCTGCATAGTAGTCAAGACAGATTAGGACAGAAAGTGACTAATCTATTAAATCAGGCTCTTGACAGGGAATACATGGGAAGGTAAGGTGACCACCTACACTGTCACTGAGAGCTAATTAATCTGTTTTAGCTTGTACTTTCCACAGCAATAGAGGAGACAGAGCAGGGAAATTTGCTGTACAAAGAGCTGGAGTTGTTCATTAAGTTGCCACCTGACTGGTCATATAGCTACAAGGTATAGGCGGACAAACAGAGAGAGAAGCGTGAGGGTAAACGAAAGAGGTTATTAGGAGGCTACTTCATCTGCAAGTGGAAAGGTGAACTAACGATTTTTTTCTAACTTAGCACTAACTACTGTAAAGAATATCAGCAAAATGTTTCCCAGTGGAGTAAAAGAAACTGTGTAGTGCCAAGAATTCACAGTATTATGAACAGAGAGGCTTTGTTCTTTAGGGGCATGAACAAAAGTCCATGTCAGGGCTGTCCTTGTTGGCAGCAACATCACTGGATGACTCTCCAGCATTCCAACCACAACATTGTAATGTTATATGCTAAACTTATTTCCAAAGATTAGTAGTGAATATGAATTTTCGAAGATCTTGGCACTTAGCTTCAGTACGTTTCACTGACAAATAGTCAAAGTGACATGCCATGATCAAGACAGCCAAAGTAAAGAATTAGTGAACTGATGGATTCTGAAGCTCTTCAAATTCATTTAATGGTATCTTCAGGATTTCTGTTGCAGCTGAATGAAGATGTGCCTGAAGAATCCATGGATGTTTTATCTAATACTGCTGAACACCTCACTAGAGTTGTTTTCCGTCTGATAATTTGACAAACATCTGTGTTTAACAACACATCCCACTTAAATATTAAAATGAAAGCCATTAAGCAGAACATTCTCACTGGACACTAAAAGGGGTTGCCAGTACCTAATGGTTTATCTATCTCATAATCTGAATTTTTAGTTTCAGGATGGTGATGACCAAGAAGAGGGAGTTGGAGACTCCTCTGACCATGAGAGTTCAGAGGATTCTGAAAGTGGCTCCGAGTCTGAGCAAGAGGAATCTGCAGAAGAGCTACACACTGCTGGAAAACATGAGGAAGCTGAGGTTCCAGAAAACAAAAAAGAAACAAAAAGCAATTATAAAATGATGTTTGTTAAAGCCAGTGGTTCATAACTGCAGATGTAACAGCTTTGTATTTAAAGTACAGTAAGCCTTATTGTTACAGTGCAAAGTGGAGGACTGCTACAGCACAAATATTTGTATTATGATTTTAAGACCCTGTTAGATGACAAAAGGTAGTATTTGCTTTCAGTTGCCATGGATAACATTTTTATGGGCACAGTGGTATTCCTGTTTTTTTGTAAAGTGTATAAAGTACTGGATGAAGAAATAAATTCTTTTTGTTTCTGCCCTATCTCTGATGTTATCTAAACTCTCTCTACCCTTATTCCATGTCAGATCTTATTAGTGGTTTCTTTTAAGAAATACCCTAGTCTTTAATTTTTAAATATAATAATACATGTTAATTACTGGATGTTTACTGTTGATTATTGGATGATTAGTTCTAAATACGAGTATCAGCTCTGTTCTGTGTTGTACTATAGTTTTAAACAGTGATTCTGTCCATAGGTGCTAGTCTTGACAAGGCCTAACAGCAGCAATCACTCAGTGGTGATATTGCTGTGTTCGGCTGTGGACATATACAGCAGTTTTATGGTAAGGCTCTAGGAGGTTTTAGAAATACGTAATACAACAGAAGGCACTAGCTGCTTGAGTTTATTATAGTACTTACAAAGCTGTAGCTCTTTTAAGTATTTCTTACTAGAAAAAAGTGATTTTCTGAATTACTGGCTTAGTGCTGCAAACCTTAAGTCGATTTTAATAACTCCTCCAGAAGAAACTAGTTTTCTTGGACAGAAAAATATACTTTAATAAGGGAAAAGTAATTTAGCTTTTTACAAATAAGAACTAAGTATGCAAGCCCGCTTTTCTTCCCTCACCACAGTGGATATCTAGAATAAATTACTACGACACGGTTCCACTTCTCAAATTTATATGCTTAAAAGGTTGAGAGTCCTACTAAGCCTGCCCTGTTCCTCCAGAAATGTGCAAGTTCTCATTGTAGTAAAGCAACTAATAAAATCGCAAAATGTTGTAGACTCTGCTGCTTCAGAGTACAGACATAGCAATTGCCTCTCCTTGCTGAGAGGACGTAAGTCAAATCTGTACCTCAAGTACATCATCATTCTTCCACAAGCGAGTTTTAAGAAGTCTAGGGGGAATCTTCCATTTCTGTACACGATGATACACAGATAACATTCACAAGTCAACTTATGTGAAAGCTGCATGTAAATCATGTTAAACATGATTACATGATTTACAATCAATGTAATTATGTTAAAGACTTACTGAACATAAACAGTGCAGCATCAGATAGGAGGGTGGACTTGAAGTTAGTTACATTTTGGAAAAAATAAAAGCAATATAATTTTAAATAAAAGCTGACTCTACATCTTGATTAAGGTAACCTGCTCTTCTGTATTTACTTTTTTTTTCCCCAAAATAATTAAGCTGTTTTTCTTTAAGAACCACCTTACAGCAGACACTGAAGTTGAGTCATTTGTACTTCTCATGAGAATTTTTCTTGTTTTCCTAATATTCCAGATATCTAATACATATATTAAATAAATACTGTTCTTGAATTAACCAAAGAAAGGAAACAGTTTGAGAGCTACTCTATCACTAGGAAAATGTGCAAGTATAAAAGCTGAAGAAGGGACAGTCTGATTCAAAATCAGACTTTGGATTCATTGTAAGTCTCTTGGAGAGTACTTATTTTGAAGAGAACAGTTTTGGTAAAGCCTTTAATATCTTTAAGATGCAGCTTTAGCTGAGGCCTGAAACAAGGGTAGTGTGAAATCTGAAGAAAACCCCAGTGAGTAAGAATATAAGAATACCTGTGTTACAACTCAGCAGTTGGCTGCTTTTTTCCCCTCAATTTAAAATTTCTGAAAACTTCTTAAAACCTTCTTTCTTTAAAAAAAAGACATTGCAGAACAAGGTTATTTGTCAAATACAGTAGTTCAAATGAGGTTCATCCCTTGAAGACAGGATGAGACAACCAAGTAATCTGTACAGTCTTTCCCATTCTTTTCTTCCCTCCAAATTTTATATTCCAAGCTGATTCATTTTCCTTATAGATTGAGATCAATTTGTCCTATTCAGGACAAAAGTTGTGCATACATCAGCATCTCAGTTAACTTACTTTAGCCGTGATTGCTGTTTTATTATTTCCTGGAAGGCAATTACAAAATTAAGGTTTTGGCAGAAAGAGCTGCCATTCGCTGACCCCTCCCCTTCTCTGTCTCAGCAGTGAAGGCAGTGCTGCTCTCACAACCCTCCTCGCTGCTCACACAGCTTCAGCACGCATCTAAACTGGGAGTCCCACTTCTAAAACTTGGTCCATGGCTTTTGTCATTGCAGAAACACGCTGCAAGACAGGGGGCCTTGCTGCCCTTCCACTAGTTTCTAAGGAAGGGCAAGAAAGAACTTGACTGGGTGGCTTTTCTGCCCAGTGCAGCCCCCCTAGAAAGGCACAGGAAAAGCAGACCCACGTTACAGTCTCTGCAGGGATCTCTGCCCCACAGCACAGGGTACCACTTCCTCTCTGCCCTGATCCGATTACAGCCTCTTGTCTTTGTCAAGGGATTTTACCTTTAGTCTGCAACAGAGATTAACAGATAAAAAGTAAGCTAAAAAGCAATTAGAATAAAAAGTGAAATTAAACTATTCTAATAGCAGCTCTTCCCAGAAAAAGTCAAAACAGTGTTAACTTCCATCCCCCAAATACCTTACACTAATCTAAATATCAGGAGGTTTGGTCCACTCATCTCTGATGCTGAACAAAAAAGAATCTCAAAATAGGAAAAAATTCCACATAATCACATCTGCTTCAATGTAACATTCAGAAATGGATTACCAAGATCCACAAAGCAACCTCTCTCCAGGACATTTCTTCATACATGCCAGAAAAGGCTAATTTAATTCTGCAGATTCTGCAATTAATCCAGGAATCAGTTTTACTAGTATTTGGTATAACAGCTTCAGCCTTAATGGCATGAATAAAAGCAGAATTAATACAGCTCTCACACTGGAGACAGGGAACATAGAGGAAAACCAAAGCTGATCTCTCCGCTGATTCTGTTGTTAGTTCTCTGCTTTTTAGGCTGGCAAAGGAACTCCCAGAGGTGACAGCAGAAAATATAAGGAGCGGCTGAATCGGAAAGAGGAAAATGTATTTGTCTTTTCAAACAAGATCTGGCCACTGAAACTCCGTAACTCGGAGACCAGCTCACTTCCACTTGTTCCAAGAAACAACTGATGCAAATTAGATTTGTCAAGAAAAAGGGCTTGTATAACTTTTCACCTGTTCCCAAACTGAAATTTATCTTTATTTACACAAAGGTTCCTACATTATCAGCATTAGCTAATATTTTCCAAATACTCTCAAAGCATGTGTCTTTGCAAGATGGAAAGCACTTGACCAAGCCTGTGTATGCCTGTGCACAGTGCATTTCCCTGTAGAACAGGGCAAGAAGAAATCCACTGCAACCCACAGGTCCTGCAGTGACAGGAGAGGAAGCCTTTATGCCAGGTGAAAGATCTGTTTCTTTCTTACCATGAGGCATGCAGGAGTTTCTGAGGCCAAGGAAACTGATCTAGGAGGTGCCCTGTAGCTTTATACAGCTGCTTGACAGTTTACCTTCTCTTTTTTCCCTGAAGAGGAAGCTGACACCTTCATTCCTGAAGCACAATTTATGGGCCAGCTTCAAAGCTATAGGTCTAGGGCTGTGGTTGGGGAATTCACATCAAAGATGATGTACGCATGTTGTTCTGATGTCAGAGCGGACGTTGGTAGAAATCTCTGCGGATTTACTGCAGTCCCCAGAACAAGGATTAAAATATGCACTGAAGCTGCCTCTGTAGACTGCAGGAGATAAAGAGAATAAGTGGCAGTACAATATCTCATAATCAAAGCCTGGCAGAGTCATTTGCATCAGTTTCTCAGAAGCTGTCAGGGGATTAAGAGAAGGGACATATGTCAAGGTACTGCCACTGGCGGGGCAAAGAGCAAGTTGGTTTTATGTTTGTTCTGAAGACTGACACCCAAGCAGGTATTTTTCTCAGGAAAAATGTAAAGTAATACAAAGGTACTGAGCATCACTCATGATGGACAGCTAAAAGTTTCCTCAGCTTCTGCACCAACATGAAACAAAACACTCACTGATTTGACTTATTTCTGAAGCACAGAAACAGGTGCAGAATAAGATCAGACCAACAGTGTGTGCTATTATTTATGCATCTCCATTATTACTTATGGTATCCATAGCTCAAGAAGATTTAGTTGAGGGGGAAAAAAAAAAGTAACAGATGACAAGAGAGTTTTTTCTATCTCCAGTCAAGTTATATGACAGTTATACACGAAACTTAGTTCTTTCTAACTGCCCAGCTTGCTCAACAGTAAGCTTTTTTTTAAACCATTCTCATAATAGGTAACTTCTTCCAGAGATTTTCAGGTATCTTTCTATATCAGGTGAGCAGTGCCCTTTCTAAACGTGGTAAATCAAACCACGTTAAAGACCACAGAAAAAGTTGGACAAACTCTTAAAAAAACACCCCTAACCACTTCATTTCATTAAGGTTATATCTTGCATAATCCATCAATTGGGACTTCAAAAAAACCTCAAAACCCCTCCTGTATCTCAAGAGATGAGTCAGAAAACAATGTAAAAGCTTTTCTCAGCTGTGGCACTAGAGACAGAATCCAGCCAGCCCCAAACCCCACACAACACAGCAGAACTGAGACAAGTAACTGGAGCCACCTCAGGCTCCTGGGAAAGCTGTTTGTCTGGAAAAAGGGGTCTTGTTTGATACAAGCTATTCCTAACTGGAAAAAAAAATCACTTAGAAGTACAGGGAAGCACAGCAGCACACAAGGAAGAAGACAATTCCTACTATACCCAAAATACTGAGTCATCAATGATTTCTCCTCTTTACCCTCCAGCACCATGAATACTTCTACTCTCACTTATCCCATTCAGAGAGTGCTTTTTGTACTAGGATGGGGACTCACATTCTGTCTTGCCACCTATTCCAGCTCCTTCAATCTTCTTACGGTTACACTCCACTCTCATCCCCACCTTACTTGCTCCTGGTTGCGGATACATCACTGCACTTATTTCCTAGAAACCCACTACTCACCTTTGTCTTCCTAATCTCTTCCTTCCTTCCTTCCTTCCTTCCTTCCTTCAGTACTTATGCTATAGCTTCTGGTAAAGAGCTTCTAGCAGGTAACAAGAAAACGTTGTTGTCCTTTAAGCTTGTATAACAGTTTTATACCGTTTTTGATAGTTGCTCAGTAAATGATGTCCACGTGTTTTAGCTTTCTTCTCTGGAGGCTGTTGATTTCCCCAAGGCAACAAGAAACACAATACTATTAGGTAAACAACAGGTAAACAGTACACAAACAGGCTATTCCATACACACTACTTTCTGGTTTCATTTTGTTTTATAGTTAACACTCAAAATTCTTCTGCCATCTCTTGGTAATTTTATGGTAGGTTTTATAACTTTACCTTCCTGCTAGGGTTACCTGTAGCTTAACATTCAAAATATGGCTGTGGCATAGAATACCTCAACAGACTTGTATTAAAAATGCTCTTTAAAATTCCAAAGCTTTGAACTAGAGAAATCTCTCAAAAAGTTTTCATGGAAAGTTCATCTCAGCTGGTTTAATTCAGCTCCAGTTAGATGCACCTTTTCAAATAATAGAAAAAAGTGTAACGGGGTCAGACCCAATCAATACAGTTGTTCAAACAGAATTTCAGGCACTGTGATGTGTGTACATTTTGCGCTCTCTCTTTGTAGTGCTCCACTATGAAGAAAGGTTGCTTTTGCTAGTAGAGCAATAAAAGTCTTAGCCTTTTGAATAGAGCCAAATAACCAACCGGGATGTTTACTAGGTGTGAAAAATATAGCAATTTTTTTATGTCTTTGCTGAGCATGTCTTTGTTCATTTTATAACTACGCAATACATACAAACATGCTGCACAAGCCAATATTTTTAAATACCCAGACATAAATCAGAGGAGTAAAGCATCAAACAGATCATGCCTTGGTTATCTTCAAAGTTTTGAGACTAAATAAATCTGGTCTTTCCTTCATATAACACCCAGAAGTTAATTGCTGCCACACGTGAGATAGATACAATATTTTACAGAGAAGCCTAGACACTGATATAAAATAATATACATATATCTTAAGATCTGGAAATTAGTTAATTAAATGGTGCGGGTGCAAAGATAACACTGTAAGCAATACCAAAACGTGCTGGGAGTACTCGCTTGCTCAAAACACCAACTTCCAGAGGCTGCAGGCTACTCCAGAGCACCTCACTTGACCCTGGACGTTTTGGAAATAGCAGCTCAGATCTGGTAGTATCTTTCAGAAAAACAGGGAGAAGTGGAAAGGCTGCATGCAAGTTCAAAGAGGTTAACACAGTGGTATGTATGAATATAGGCTGCGGTTTCAGAAATGCACCTACGCTGTAAAATTTTTATAATGTTAATGCAACAAATGGAAAACATTGCCCAGCATAAAAGGGGAGAATTCAGTCTGTACAATGTTTGCTTGGTATAACATCACAAAACACCATGCAAGAACTGCTACAGCTTTCTAGTATATTCCTCTTTCTTTTAGAGCCACTTTGACAGAAGAAAAAAATGCTACTTTCTGACAGAAAGCAAATTAAGCAATGCTTTACTCTTCTAGCACATTCTTCTAGTTTTGATATTAGGGCAGTAACGTGTAACACCTACAAATCAACATTTTGATTCCAAAGAAATCAACCCAAACCGAACTCTGTTATCTTCAAATAATTACAGATAATCTTCAGTTGCACACATCCAGGCCTGCAGAAAGATGGTCCCTGGAGAACAGGATTACATACATTCCAGAAAACATTTTGGAAAAAATTTATTTTGTCCAAAAAAGATACCAGATAATGTATCAGATGTGAGATACAAGACAGTAAGGACAGTATTGTCAAAGTAGTGTTTAGCACACAACTCTGAAAAAATTCTCTGTTTAAGAATAAAGATAGATATCATCAGTTTCCTTGATATACTTACATATAAAAAAAAGAAGAATTAGTGTACAGGAAGCTTAATCTAAGTCCTATTGAAATCAGAAAACTTCAGGGATTCGAACCAGAGCAGCACAAAATGCTAGAACAGCACAAAACTCAGGAATTTTAAATATTATGACCCTTATAAATGTATGAATGACTTTTTAAATATATGAATGGTAATTACAAAGTAGACAGAGGCAAAAGGGAGTTATGTTAATATTTTAATCTGTACATATACCATTTTCCAAACTGTTACATTTTATTTAAATTAATGTTTTCCTGCAAAATATTTATTTTTCAAAACTTTTTATAAAGGCAAAAATAAATCATTATTTTGGCAAAATGTTTCAAAGTTGATACTGGCAGTATTGAGGTAAAATATATTGCATTAGCTAAATATATACTTTTAAGAATATTTCTGAGTAGAGTGTTAATATAATATGATTCATCTTACAGTATGAAACTTGAAAAATCAATCAATTTGAAGGGTGTTGTAACTATTATTTGAATATAGCAAACAAACACATTAATGTTTTCCCAAAATACTGCAGAAATATCTCAGACATCCTTATTCAGAGCTGAACTCAACTAATAATTACATATTATTGGACAATTTCTTGCATTCAATGGGTCCATTTTTTTTCAAGTAAAGGAATCACAGCAATTCATTTAATCTCATTTTCTCCCCATGTAGCCACCTCACTCTTTGCCCTGAACATAAGCAAAACACTGTATATGGAAGTTTGGCAAAGTCAAGCACCACTGAATTTACACACAAAATTAGCAGGTGCCACATTACATTAGCTTCGCAGTTTCCTGGATAAATACTAGGTAATACATCATATTTCATTATTGAAAAAAAATCAGAAGAAAAATATATATATTTACTAGTAAAACAACATATGCTATTACATTTTATTGCTTACTTCACATATTTTAATTAAAAGTTTTTTTTTTCCACATCTCAACTTTTATGTAAAAATATAATCTGTTAGCTGTTTGTTACCGAGAGGAGAGCATTACTGTCAGAGCAGCATCACACACTGACAATGGCAAGTTATTCATTCAGGATCAAAAAGGAAGCTGAGTTAAAACCAAGCGTCATCACGCCTTTCATGGACAATTTTAGCTATGCAGGGTTAGTGACATTCATAAACCCATGCCAGAAGTTCCTTGCAGGGTACTGTTTAACGGACCAAAGAGCAAGGGATTAACTCCAGAAAATATCCCTTCCAAGCCCCTCTTGCAGTGAACCTCTCGACGGAGTTAGCTTTACCCATATGCTATAAAAGTGCTTCTAGGATTGTTCAGTTTGCATTTCTTCATGAAACTTGGCATTGTGCATCTAAGCCTGAGGGGGAAGTAACAGCATCTTGTAACATTAATGTAAGTAGTTTCTCTTAAAATGAATTCAGCCCTTGATTAAAAAATTCTAAAATATATTCTGTTCTAAAAATACACTGTCAGTATCTTAGAGTTTGTTGAAAGTGCCATTTAGTCATATAAAAAGTCTGAACTAAACTGAAGTCAAAATAAACTGATTTGCGATTTGCTTAGTTTTCATAGAAAATCCCCCTGTCATTCTCAGAATACGTGTTCAAAAGTACGCGTGGTGGTCGGCTGCTGAGTTTCTTCACAGAAAGCTGGCAAAGAGCTTTTCTTCCTTCCATGTAGCGTCTCTAGGTGAGTTTTGCTTTGAGTCTTACGTCAATGCCCAGTTACTGCTTTGGCTAGTATGAAGTAAAATGAAAGGTGGTTAAAAACGGAAGCGAGCATCCTAATACCAAGTAGCAAGCACTTCCAGGAAACATGTTTGGTGTTAACGCCTTCCACGTTTGACAGGACAAACAACCAACACAGACACATTCAGGGAACAAGTATGACACAATGCCACTGAGCTAATGGCCAAACTACTGCCTCCCTTGCACACTGCTGAAGTTGCTGCAGCTTTTCCTTGACAATTTTCCTGAAGAAAATGTAGGGTTTGCAATATATATGTATACATATGCATCTATGTACATATATATACACGTGATAGACATTTTATAAGGGCAAGGAAATTAAATTTATTTTTAATAAAGCCTCTGTTCTACTTGAAATGGCAAAACAGAGACAAAAAAATCTTCTGTTAATGAAAGAAATATTGCACACATGAAACAGTCAAAGAAAACATTGCAAAATTAGTTTAAAAAGGTCTAAATTTTTAGCTCACCTTCAAAAAGCCTCTAGTGTTAGTTCAAGCGTAAGGTTCAAGCCCGTAAGAGAAACCTCTGCTTGCAATGACTTTCATTTGTTGACACATCAGAGGTTCCTGGGCACAGGCACATGCCATGCACAGGCACAAACCCCTACGCAACAGCCCCTTACTCCGGGCACAGCAGTACCCAAGTCTAGTGATGAAAACCTGGCCCCAAGCTACCAGGAGTGAAGATGCCTTCCTTCCTTCTTTCCTTCCCTCCCGTGAACAGTGGGGCAGGATCTTATCCGTAAAGCCACAGTGGTTACTTGAGGACTTTATTAGCTCACGTGTTAGCTCATTAGAAGCAGTTATTTACTACACACTAACAACATTTTCTGCTTTCTGAAAACACATGCATGCATACATTTGGATCTAATTTAGGGCTAGTTAAGACGTTAAAATTCAGCAAGTCATAGCAAAGACACAATGGCAAATCAGACATGCCAAGAGCAGTTAGTTCTTACTTTTAAGGTGTTTAGACAAATGTGTAGTGAAATCCATTGCTTAAGGGAGAGTGAGGTGGTTGTGGTACAGAAGGTGAGGGTGCTTTAGATGGATAGGTCAACTGCTGAGCTAGAAGGGATCACACACAGGAATTAGGCAGCACAATCAAACATACATATTAAAACAGAGCCACCTTAATTTTTATAACCATATAGGAAATCTGATTAGTAATGCAAGAAGTGATACACTACTTTAGTTACATGGAACGCAATTTAAACAACATTTCCACCAGCTCTTTTCTCCCCTCGTCAGTTGTATTAAATTGTGCAAATAAACATTCCAAATCAAATGAGAAAAGCACAACCTATATTAAGATGAAGTTTTACTGCAACATTAAGGCACACAAAACTGATACACTCTAATGAAACTCTGCTTTTAAAAGAGGAAATTCCAGAACAGCACCTACATTTGCTAGTTTTGTTTCAACATTTCACTGAGCTTGTACAGGCTTTCAGGATTTCATTTATAATATGCCAATAAACAGAAATAAAGATGATATATAGGAGACCACAAGATTAAGTAACAATTTACAATGTATATAATATTCTGAATTCAGTGTACAATACAGTAAACACATCTTCTGACTTATGCATGAAATTGCAGAATAAAGAATATAACAGAAAAATGATGTTTGTTTATAACAGAGCAATGGTATAAAAAACATGGAAAACGGGATTCAAATGGAACTCGACTGTAAAGTCTGCTTTCTGCATTTTGGCAGAACAAAGGTTTATCTACTCCCAAACAACAATTAGGGAAGAGACTTTTTGATACTTTTGTATCTCATTTTAATCATTCAGAATCATGATATGATCTCTATTTAGAACAGGGATTTCTTACTAGGAATGGAAGAAGCTTGAGATGTTGCTTTGTAGGGGTCAGATCAATGTACAATTTATATTAAAGGTGCTACCATAGCACCCTGAAGCGTGTCAATTGCTTCAACAAGAAAAGAGGGGAAAGTAAAGTTTTAGTCTTTTCCAAAGTAACTTTTGTACAAAATCGGGACATTTAGTTTTGGATTTCCGATATAGTCCGCTTGGTCAGTAGGGAGAAATGTTGACAATGCAAACTTTAAAAATCTAACTATAAATATAACAATGTGAATGAATTTATTGATCTGTAAAAATCAGAATAACTGGGAATGCACAATTAGCTGTGCAAATCACCACATGATTTTTCTATAAATAACTTTAGATCACTATAAAATGCCTGTGTTTCAGGTTTATAAAAACAAACTACTTGTGCGTGTTTTAGAATTTCCTGAGGATTTTTTTTTTTAAAGGAAAAATAGTAATGAAATCTAAGCAAAACACGTTGAAAGAAGTGATTATTTTGGATGCAAATGTTGCAAGGAAAATTTGTGTGAAAACATCTGTGCCCAGAGGTAAATGTATGAAATTCTGTAGCCAATTAAGTCCTTAGGAAATATCTGAATTTTTGAAGTTCTTCATAAAAGCATTAAATTAAAACAAAACAAAACAAACAAAGAAAACCACACAACTGACCACAACGTATTTTTCAGGTATTTCAGACACTGCAAATCCTATTGACCAAGAGTACGTGAACTGGTCACATGAAGTCTGTGCCGTGTGGCAGGGACCAAGTCAGGCCCGTGCTCACACTTGCTAACCTTTGCTCCTGTGTCACCTTTCCCCAGAAGCAGCTAGAACTCACATGGGAAAAGGCCGGATTCCTCCTGGACCACAGCCCATGCCGCAACCCAAGCCAGTGCTGGTGCACAGTTGCCCTGCTCACTAGAAGGAGGACCAGAGTGGCTGCCAAGAAGCAGTTTCTCTGCACAGGTGCCTGCGAATCCCAAAGGTTGTTGCTGAAATCCTCCCGAGACCTTACAATTCTGTTCTTTTCTAATGTTTAGCGCGTAAGGCATGTAAGTCAAAAAGAACAGGGAATGGTTTCTGTATCTTTAACATATAAGAAAACTTCCACTTTTAATGGAAGCTGAGCTTTGGGCTCCGTGGTAAAAGGAGCTGAAATTAAATACAATAGAATGCTTTCCTCACCTTCCATGCATTTAAGCGCTGCTCTGCTTCCTCAGTGAATCATTTTATCTTTTCCAATATGAAAATTACCCACAGAAACACTCCAAATTCCCAAGATTGTAACTTGAGAATATATTTCATCCCCTCAAAATCACATTCCCCTCTAGTTTAGCTGCTATGGCATCCTTGACGCAGCCATATTCAGTTGACAATCTGTTACTGTAATGTAGGCTATGCATCAGGACATTGGGGTTTTTAATGGAAGGGGTTTCTTACCCCTTAGGACTTCTGTGGCAAGTGTCATAAATTTAAACTGACAACCTCAGGTGAGAAACGAGCATATTTTTTCTCCATCAGAGCTGAAGTTCCCGTCATTTCCATTCTACACTGGAACAGCAAATCGTGCCAGTTACAAATGACAAGTCAGGCACTTGCTAAAATAGCTGCTATGTGTTCAATGTCATGTGTGATACAAATTGGCTCATGTTTCTTACATATGTCAAATATAAAGCAATCAAGAGTGAAATAAATATTGTAAAGGATCTTCTAATTTCTAGGCAATGAACAGAACTAGTGTACGGATATTTTGCTCTGACCTCTAACCTTGTTCACCAGACACCCATTTTACAATGTCTTTTTTGGCATACTGTCATACAGTTCAAGCTTCAGATCAATTTATTATTTTTTAGCCCCATTAGTAACAACTGACTTCCAAGCCATGAGTTTTTGATCATATATTCTCCCCCTTCCCCCTTGCCACTGACAGCCAAATACTTTAACCTCTCTATCTTTAACCAGCCAATCTTTAACCTCTCTAGATTTGGCATTTATACACATAATTCACCGTTTTGAGCAAGAATAACACAACTCTCTCTTATGCCATCAGTTCAGCAGCACCCACACACAACCTTAGAAGCAGGTAAAAACAGCTGTTATTTTGTAAATAAGTATTACCTGCTACTTCCTTGCTCTTCTGAGAGGCTTCAGAAGCCAAAGCGTATGATATGGTAATGATGCGTTCCTGCTCTTGCAACTGTGAATCTAAATCAACCGAGTTGTGTTTGTCCTGGACAAGAGTAGGCTGCAGATTGTGCATACTGGTGGGGAAGTGCAAAACAACATTAACATTACAACCATAAAGAATAATTCAATGCGCACATGAAAACAGAGCTCAAGTTCATAGAGCAGTTTTTATAACTCACATATGAAGTTCCAAATTTCAATGAAGTTCTTTAAAATAACATGTTAGATACACTAAGTAAATGACTACAGTCTGCAAAGACAAATGATGTAGCCATTGCATATTCAGTAACGATTTGTGCGTCTCTTTAAATATACCTGAAAACCCTTTGTTGTAGATAGGTTGTTTACATGAAAATTATTTACTTGAAAAGTCATTTAAGTTAATAATCAAAATTCTTGTTAGTGCCCAGAGAAAGAGGTACAATCTGACAGTCCTCAGGTACGGTCACATTAACAATCTTACAAAAAGAAAATGGACATATGCAGAAGTCATCACTGCTGGTCTCTCTTCTACCCAGTTTTAAAAGGGAGCATATCAAGTATGTTAGTAAATAAATCTGCCTGAGTTTTCTAAAAGTCGCAAAATATTACACTTAGATAATTGAATTAGAAATGTTCTGTCGTAATAAGCTGTTTTCCAGTGCTTAATATCCCTATACAGGATTTGAAAAATAACTGACCTTGATTTAGTAAGAATATTCTTTATTTTTTCTGCTTTACGCTGCCTTGCTGCCAGCTCTTCAGTAGAAAGAGGTTCTTCTGGCTCCAGCTCAACATAGCGCTCTGGAATCGCAACCTTCTCGGGTTTTGACAACTGTGAAAAGAAAACAAGCATCAAGTTCTTAATAGGAAGAACACAATACAGCAAAGATGCTGAATATTCTGTTCCTATTTCTGAAGTTGACCCAAACACTGAATTCTCTGTAAAACTTATATAAAGATTAACAGAAAGGTGCAGTCATATGTGGAGATCAAAAGATAATGGCTCACAGATGCATTGAGAAGGTCTTTTAAAAAATATCTCTCCATACAAAATAATACACCAACAACAAATTTCAGAGTACGTTCAACAAGTCTAGGTATCTTCAGTAATTTTACTGAATTTCTATTTGCTGTGGCATTTTACGCATCCACTTGAATCTTGCTATATGCTTTCCTTTCCACCAGATGGCTCAAAAGCATTTCTTTGGAATGCTATTTGAGCTAGAGTTGCAAATAAAATCCCGGACTAGTGCCCAGGATACCAACCAAATCTCTTGAAAACTCAGCAGAATGATCTCGTTTTTCCTGATCAGCATAATGCAGTACTCACTCTTCTCCGTTTGGGACAATTAAATGAAGAGTAAGGTGGCTCTGTGGAACTGCCACTTCTATTTCTTAAGTATTTTTCTGTTGTCTTCCCATTTTTCTTTCCTGATTTACATAACACTGCCAAATTTAATCATTTTTCCCTATACAGTCCTTCATGTAGAAGAGCCAACCTTTTGTTTTTTCCTTTTCTCTGAGACACACTACTTGCACAAACAGCACACAAGCTTTTAAGTGCAAGCTTATAATTTGTTTTCAATACCTAAAAGCCTCCTTCCTTCCAGTTAGGACTTCCAGGTAACTTTGGACACAAAATGTTAAGATGCATTAGCTGAAACTGAGGAAGGTTAGTACTTTGAAATACGAAACAGGAAGCAACAGAGTTTGAGTGTTACCTCTCTGCCGATATCCAAATCATAATCTTGAGGCTCCAGATCTGTTTCTGTTACAGCCACTGGCTGAACTTTTAACCAGCTATTTTCATCCTTGTCTTCTCCACGAACTACTCTCTCCAGTAACTGCAAATCAAATTCTTGCTCTCGTTTCCACTGGCAATAGATACAAAAGAATTAACAGTATTCAACCATACTGACAGATCCACTGTTCAGCAATGTTTACAACTGCTGCTGCAAATTATACTGCTGAAGGAATCTACAAAGTAAAACACGCAACCGATAAGAGCAAAACAACTCTCATCTCGGAACATTTGGTTTTTAGATTTCATCTCTGTTGTGTTGCATGGATTTCTAAGGGTAGATTAATTCTACAGGCAACTGTAGTATTCAGTAGTTCAGTAGTATTAAATTCTAGCAGATATATTTGTCTTGATTTCTCATAAGCCCATTCATGAGGAACTGCCTACACGTGAGCATCAGTGGAAGCACAGATGTCTACACCGGTGAGTTGAGGAACTGACAGTCCTAGGTCTCCTGACCAGACCACCTGCGGTAATTTGAATCGCTATTTTGAATGGCCACTTACGCTGCAGGGTAAGAACTGCAACTTGTAAATTTTATATCACTTTCTAGAAAAATACTTGGCGGCTACTGCTGATTACATTTTAGAAATTACTGTTAACTTCTCTTGAAACTGAAAATAGCAATAACTTAAAATATCTTACTAAGGCTTCATAAAAGCAGATTAAAAAAAAACTCTCAAATTTTCCATATTCTATCTTCCCAATTTTATCAATAATAAAATCAGAATGTATTTATATGGAATAGCATAATTCCCTACTGCTAATGCTTAAATAGCTCCTTCACAGCTATGCACATAATACAGATTAAGCCTAAGAACACTACCAACATATTTTTGCTAATAAATGGCAAAAAAATAAGTTTGATTGCAGCATTACTCTACCCAGCAGATCTCATCAAATTTGATGAAGTTTAAACTTGATATTAAAAGCAACAGGAAAAAAGGGACAGAAGACCTAAAAGCATTCATCTCCAAGTATTTGACAGTATCATTAGAAGAACATGCTGTAGCATATCTGTCGTTCATATTATAAATCTTTATCTCTTTCTGACTGAAGACTGAACTCTGTATGAAGTCCTTAGAATCCACTAAGCTATTTGTAGCTACCTGAAACCTATTCATGCACAAGCTCTCAATATTCACTCAGAAGATAGACATCTTCTATTTATATTAAAAATAATAAGCACCTAAGAATGTAACTACATCTCAAAAAATGAGATGTTTCTTTTTAGAATTCAAAAGAGAAAAAATATTTTCTCATACTAGTTCTTCAGACTCATTCTTCTACTCACATTTGAACCAGGCCTGATTGACATGGAGTATTTTAAATATACAGTATGATTTTCAAGTTGTTATATTTATGTAAGAAAAACATCAAACCATTATTATGGAGCAATATTTTTATTGGCTTTGATGTTGCAGCTTTTACATTAAAAAGGCATTTTATATAACAAATAAATTCATGTACTGTGATCATTATTTTAGATGCCATACTATACTAGAGATCTGACTGATTAAAAAATAAGAGTTGCACACACAATCTATGTTTAAAGCAAACGTTACATACTGAGCAGCACTTCAATTATGCATTTAACTGTTCCCCGTTTTGGCTGCTAAATAAATGTAATGCTATAAGTAATTGTGCTATGAAACATGCTTGTTGCGTGTTGAAGCCCTATAGGTACAAGAAATGATCATTACAAAACATTTCCAGGGCTAAAAGATTAATTCAAGTCTTTACAGCAACAAAAAGTCCAAGATGGCACTCAAATTTATAGATGTTTGCCATGGATGCTAATATGGAGTCTTACAAAAACATTTAACTTAGACCTGTGTATGTTATGTTAGAATCATGAAACATTAGAAGTTCAGGTTTAGTCCTTCGAATTAAAATATGAAAATAACAGTGATACCAAAAGTTCTATGATTCTCATAATACTATGCACTATTTTGAATAAATCTGTGATCACGCAACAGAAGATAAGAGATTGCAATGTCTCCAAGTAGTGCATTCCTATTCACTGGGAAAGTGAATACAAGTTAGCTGTAGATTAGCTGTTTCTAAGAAATGGGAATGAAAGACTGAGTATTATAGGGGGAGGGTTTAAAAGCTAGCAACATGTACTAAATGCAATTAAGCCTGGTAAAAATTGAGTAGTTAGAAATTTTAAAATAACTACAAACTCTGCAAATTAAAAAAACAAAAACAAAAACAAAAAACAACAACAAAAAAGACAGATTAGGCATGATGAGTGACAAATCTAAAAGCAAGAGATCTTGTGCAATGAATTAGGTAAAATAAGGTGATCATTCTAAAGCTCTAGTGGACCAAATAAAAAAAATAAATTAAAAGACCACAGCATAAGTGCAATTACAGTACAATCTTGGTTTAGCACCAAGGGAGCAATTGGGTAACTTCTCCAATTAGAGTCACTTTGGTTAGTATCCATAATGTATCATTACAAACTTATATTCTGCATAGCATTTCAGAATGCAACAAAAGTCCTTTCCTCCATCGACTTAAAGTTGAGCCTATTAGAATATTCTACATTTTGATCTTTAGAGCCAAATCGATAATTAGAACATATTTGCCCTTACCTAAGTTTCTAACAAAAATGATTAGATTTTCAAATGCATCATCCATTTATCAAATCTAAAACCAAAAACAAACCAACAGAAAACAACTCTCCACCTTTGTCTGATATTATCCCATCTATCTCACAACCTAACTTAAGAATTAAAAAAAAAAAAGAAAAAGCCATCCAGAGCAAATAAGAACATTCTAAAAGGCCCATTCCATTATGCAGCAGTTTGAAAACTGTACAAGCTTATGTTCTAAATACAATTCTCATAAAATACACATCTCTTAAATCACTCCAATATATATATCCTAGTCTCCACTCAGCACACTAACCTCTGACCAACTTACCTGCTGAATCTGCTACAGTTTTCTAGTAACTACTAGAAAAAAAAAACCCAGAAACTGTTATTCACACTCTGACCCTCATTTTACACTGTAGAGCACTAATTTCATCAGTTTACAAGCATCACACATACTCAAGTGAAAGTGCTTGCTAGGAAAAAAAAAATCCAAAGATCATATTTTTAGCTTAGTCCTTTTAAGGCATATCTAACATACTGAGCCTAGGTCTGCAGAAATGGGCCTGCTGAAAGACCGAGATGGAACAGACTGCCTCTCTCCTTGGCTCAGAGTCCTCTTGCGTTCACGAACTAAAGCCTTCTGATGGCGCTTCATTCTCTCCAGCTGCTCTTCCGCACTCATCCGGCCTCTTTGGTGGTCTCCAGAGTACAAACGTTCCAAGGCACTCTTTGGTCTCTCCTGCAGAAGTCATAAGGCATACAAATCATACGTTGCAATTAATACATTATAAGTAAACAACAAAATAATTTAATGATTTTGCTCTAATATTTTTTATTAATTTGCCCATTTCTGCCCTGGTGCAGGACCTTGCACTTGGCCTTGTTGAATTTCATGAGGTTTTTCACTGCCCAGTTGTCCAGTCTGTCCAGGTCCCTCTGGATGGCAGCGCAGCCCTCTAGGATATCAGCTACTCCTCCCAGTTTGGTATCATCAGCAAACTTGCTGAGGGAGCACTCTGTGCTTCATCCAGGTCATTGATGAATAAATTGAACAGGACTGGACCGAGGACTGACCCCTGGGGGACCCCGCTAGCTACAGGCCTCCAACTAGACTCTGCACTGCTGATCACCACCCTCTGAGCTCTGCCATCCAGGCAGTTCCTAATCCACCTCACTGTGCACTCATCTATCCCACACTTCCGGAGCTTGCCCAGGAGGATGTTGTGAGGGATGGTGTCAAAAGCCTCGGTGAAGTTGAGATAGATGAAAGATGTTGTTTTACAAATCTAAAAGGTAGTCAGTTGCTGCCTACTTGTGTCATGATTCGTTTACTAAAGTGAGAAAATAGGAGATACTAGAAGATATTCTAGCCTATGCCATTAGAGCCCCATTTTCTAGTATGCAATACATATCTGTACTTAGCAGTACCTTGAATAATCCAGACATTTGCCTTCAAAAGTTTCTTTAGAGCTTACCTTGGACCTATCCCTTCGAAGTGTTGCATATGATGAAATGGTAGATGATTGGTGCAATCTGGAAGTAGACCCAGATAAACCTTTACAAGAAAAAGGAAAATCCTTTCAAGCCAAAAGCAAACGAAAAGGAAGGTAATAGCCATATGTTTTAAAAATGATCTTACTTTTTTCTATCATATTGCAGTTACTCTTTTAGTTGACATTTCATATTTTCCTGTTCAGAAGGTCATGAGAGGCATGTAAATTGTTTTCAGGCACAAATAATATTTCTCAGGTCACTCACTATTGAGTGTAATTCACTTCACTAATTTAGAGATTTATATTAAAAAAGGGTATGAGATGGACTCAGCTGTGCAACAGAGGCAAGGTTTACAAATAATCACATCAAAATACATCATCTATATCCTCTCAATTATCATTTAAGAAGCAGTTACACTACTAGTACAATAGGGAACGTAGTGACAAGTAGCATGTAGTATTTGTGGGCATTCTGTTAACGCACAATGTGTCAGTAATACTGTTCTTAATCTTTAGCACTTGCATTTCAATGCCTTTGATAAGAAACAGAAATGCTTATGAAAATCCTTGATTTTATAAAACATCGTGCAGAGATGCAGCAAAATCACGCAGCAAAATCCCTGGAAATAAAAGTTCCTATATAGTCTTACAAAACGTACTTTAACGAACATCAACTGTAGCAATTCTGGACTTACCACGGGTAGGTAGCGTCTGGTATCCACTGTCTGAGGTTATTAAACCACTGGAAGGCTGGCTGAGGTCCCCACTTAATGTTGCTAGTTCTGGTTCACTCATGTATGAGCGCAGTTCTACCTACATGGATACATACCATACCATTTTGTTCACAGAAAGACACAGGCAGCAAGTCTTAACAGTGGTCAGAAAAATTTGGTTGTTAGATTAGGATCTCTCTCTGACAGACTTTTCTAGTTATTATAAATGCTAGAGGTCCATAGATTTTTACAGAAAGCATCTCTCATTATAGTTTCCCATATAATTTAAAGAGCAGGTAATAAGTGCTCACCCTGTAATCGCCATTTACATACTGTCCTAGTTCTCTGTCTCTCTTTCTCTCATCTGACTGACGCTTCAGGCCCCGCACTGATGTGTGTCTGATGACAGTGGCTTCTCTCGGCAGCGGTGGAACAGCTGGTGGCTGATCATCAGGACTGTACAGCTGGGGGAGAGGAGGTCTGGGTGGTGCTTCATCTTCCTAGGTGTAAGGAATCACAGGTACTTGGCAAACTTTGTGGCAGAAGCCATCTGAAAACTCATTATATTCTAAGAGTTATTTATGAGTGCCACTGACAGAAGCACAGCCTGCTGTCCCACCTCTACACCAGAAACTTGGGGCTTTAAAAGTAAACAAAAAATCAACAAAGGAATAATTACTGAGGAAGTTCTGCCTTGACAGAATCTATACCAGACCATGGCTACCAGTGTAAGCTTCCAAGTTGTCCTCATACTTCCCTAAGTGCTATTGCTCAGTTCCATTACAAACACTGTAAATACCTCCTGTATAGCCACACTGCACACTCGGTAACCATGAAGCTCTCAATGTTTCTGCCAGAAGTAAACGCAAAGCCCGCTGGGTGAAGGAAACTTTAAAATGTTGTACTTACAACCTTTGGCATTAGCTTAACTGGTGACTGAACAGGGGGTTCGATTTTTTTCAGCTGCTGTGTTTGCTGCTGTGTTTTAGCCTGGAAATAAGGCTGTGGATATAGCCTGACTTCCACAGAGGATTTAAGAGGACTAGATGGAGGACTTTGCGGAATGGAAACTTTGTTCTCCACAGTTTTCAGAGAAGTTGGTAAGGAAGGCACTGTAGGCTGGGAAAACGAAGGCACTATTTTTCTCTCTATGGGAGAAATACGTAAACGTATTAGATGTCATTCTATATGTTCATCCTTAAATTTATCAATAATGTTCATAGGAATACAAATTAACAACTTCAGAATAAAAAAAAAACAAAACCATACAAATAAAAACACAAAAAAGGCCACCTAAAACTCTGCGCATTATTTTTGAATACAAATCATTACTGAAAACACGTTGTTCGGGACAGAGCTGCACAAGATTTCTTTTCTTTTTTTTAAACTTATTTCATTATTATTGTTACTGTCTTTTAAGCTTATCACGTTTTAGTTCCAACATTATGTGAAAAAACAAAGTCATTTCACCACCTGCAAACCAAACAAAGAAACTCCAAGGGAATATACTCACACTACAGGAATTTTTGATACTATCAACAGCAGAGTTAACTGGATTTGCTGCAATAGAACCGGTATTAGGACTTCTGAACTATTTACACATCCCCAAAGGTTCTACTACATTAGGATATCTTAATTACATTCTTACCTGGATTCTTGATTGATTCTACTATGGTTTTGTAATTAGTTTTATTTACACTCAAGCCAGCTATAACATCTTCAATCCTCCATAAGTCTTTTTGTATTTGTGTCTTCTCCTAAAGTTGGTGTAAAAAGAAGAAACTATCTCATTTTAATTTGTTATGAGCTTATTCTTCTTTTGATATCAAAACCAAACACTTCAGAACATATATGAAAACTTAAAGAGTGTATAAATAGGTTAAATCATTACCTCAATTAAAAAAATACACAGATAAGCATGACCTGCATATAGGTCGAAATAGGCCCTACAAAAGATGAGGAAAAATAGTAGAGATCTCTACTGTTTTCTATAGTATTATTCCAGCTAGACTTTTCTCGTAGTCCCCTAAAAAATATTAATTCCTATTAATTGCCTATATATATATATATATCCTATAAAATAACCCTACAGAGTCTTGTTAGTTTAAATTCTGTTCTTACATCTTGCACTAATATACTTAAGACTGCTAAGCTAGCCTTAACAAATTTCTTCAAATTTTGGAAAAATGTCTAATATTAAAAGTGTGTGTGTGTGCATATTTATTTATTTATTATTACAGTCTCCCTCAATACTATTGTGAACTGCATAATGCCTTTTAATGGCTGGAATGCAGGACCAAAATGATCTCACAGAAAAAATGACAGCTTGATTTTCTGCTCACACTTTAGATGTCAGGTATACTGTCTTCCATGCTACACAGTCTCACGGACTGCAAAAATACGTTACTGCCATTCTCAACTTTGGTTTTAGCTCATAACCTGTTTGCTCCACTATTTTTTTCCAAGAGGAAAGAAAAAGAAGCTTTACCTACAATGTGGACTCTGCCTGATTGCATTGTGCACCGAGAGGTCTTGGCTACTGAAGCTGCTACTTCAATCAGAAGATTATCGTAATCATCATAAACAACTACTCTCATTTGTGATTTTGTTTTCCAAGTTTGGGATTCTTCTTGGTATTTTATGACAAACCATTAGTTTTTAGGAATCAAGGCATAATCATTCTTTAAAAGTTGGCATTAATAATATACTAATGGAGCTCCCCCCACCATGATTTTATAAAAGAAAGCAGAAGGCACAGAATTGCCCACAAGCTCAAGAACCCTAAAAACCCATCATTTGTCATAAACTGTTTAAAAGCTGCTACTTAATCCTGCAAATCTGAAAGAGAATAACTTAAGAAAAAGCCCTTGCACCTCACACAGCTAGGGAAGGCAGATAAATAACTTCGCACGTTCTGCCTTAGGCCTGAAAATAAGTACAGCCAGGTTATAGATCAGAAAACAGGGTGCCAATAAGAGAAACATTTACATGATAGACAATGTTATTTGCCTGTAGTAAACTCACTCGATTGATGGAATATAAAAGATGGCCAGAATACAAACTACCAACTTGCACATTTCGTTTCAGTGTTCTGAGATTAATCACACTACAAAGATAGATTTATAATAATCAAATCTCCAATTTTTTTAAAGGTGAAAAAAATCCTTTCCAATGCACTTAGAAAACATCTGTCAGTAACTTATAAAAAACAGGATATTTTTTAACATTATTTCTTCTCGTTATCTAAATCTTCATATGAATTGAGTACTTTGGATCGAAAATGGATAAGCATCTGAATTTATTTTTAAATTATGGAAGCCAATATCGTTGTTTACCAAAGGATGTAAATATGCTTTACAGGAAAGCATGAGAAGTTAGTTTGAAGAGAGATATCCTTCACACAGAAACATAATTTAGAACAATTTATAAAACTGGAGGAGAAACACCAGCTGTGAACCCACAACCACCAAAATACAGTATCTTAACTTCAGCACGCCCAGCTCCAGCCAGCCAGTAAACAAAAGACAATGAATCTCTTACAAGCCAGATGTGCTTGGACTGAGCTGCCTGAAACCTTCAGTTTTTAACCTCTTAACTGTTGCTAGATAGAAATAGTATTCTCTACTTCCTACATCAACTTGAGCCTGTAAAGATTACTGAATATTTAGTAACGAACCATAAAACTGCTTTTTAAAGATAAAGCGTATATTAGTTTAAGCTGTTACAAAACACTATCTGCACACTCTATCCAAAGTAGAGACTGCGTATGGGTACTTGAGACATCTTTGATAGACCATAATTATAAGCCTATGGAGTATTTTTCCAAGAAATCAGATCTCTCTAATATGTCCAAAGTGAGTGCTCGGAAACATTTTTTAAAAAATCTTCATTACATGTATGTATGAATGCATATAAAATACACGTGTATGCATGTACATAAGGTATGTTCTTTGTGTGTGTGTCCACATGTACCCGCACACATACGCATGCACGTGCCTGGAGAAGATAGTAAGCCTGACCTGGTAAATTTTTTTTTTGTTCTGTGGAAACCATTTCTTCCTCTCCAGACAAAGCAGTGTAATGTATTGCTAAGCCACATGCTGCACATCTGGTACTGTAAGTATGCTCAAAGCATAACCAAATCTTTGCTACGGTATGTTTGGTATAAATCTGTAATTTCCCTTTTTAAAAATCGAGTTAACTTCATAAATGGAGAATTTTATTCTAAAATAATCCTGGCATGTTTTTCTGAGGGAGGTACTCTATGGTTAAGTTCAGTTTAATGATATTCTGTCTCTAGAAACTACTGGAAGAAAAAAAAAAAAGTGATTTAAAAAAAAGCTAAAAGTGATTAGCCAAATATGGAATTTGAATATCTATATCAATGCAATCTGCAAAGGTTTTGTAACTCTTATTTTGATTCAAGAGTTTTATCTGTTAACAGAGAAAACAAATTCATATTTCTTCAGAAGTCTGGAACAAACTCCAAAACTTAAAAGTTTAACTAGTAGGCTTTTCTGTCTGAAATATTTGGACAAGCAAGCTGGGATTTTAAAAAAATATTTGTTTCTTGTTTTTCTCTTAAATAAGATGTTCTGCTTAGACACAGGTAAAACCAGACTGTATTCCTTGCTGTAAGATAAAATCATCAGCTGTAAAAAGACATGTAGAAATTATCCGGCAGGCCACATTCAGTTCAGCAAACAGAACAGCTTAGCTTCAAACAAGCTTCTTTGTAAGATTCAACACTGAGTAATTGATTTAAAACCTGGATGCCTTTCAATCACTGATAGCTATTAAACACTTACTCCACTTCACAAAACAATCTGCAGAGATAAATACTCAATAAATAGAACACCATGACAAAGAACAAGTAACAAGCTAGTGACTGATGTTCTTAAAAATGGATAAGTGAACCATATCAGACCAAATAAATGGAAGACTAATAAGTTGGGATAGTCTTCTAAATTAAATACGTTACCAATATCAAGAAGTCAGTATGTAATATAAACACAATAAAATAATGACAGATTTAGCTAGACAGCTTATGGCACTTGCTGCAAGACAGCTAGTTACTGCCCAGCTACGCTGCAACAATTTCTGAACTTTGCTAACTAAGCTATGTGGTGGCTAAACACAGTGCAGAAATTGCAAGAGATTTCTCCTATGAGATCACAGCTTTCAAGTTCAGACAGAGTCTTCACAGGAGTAATCCAGTGTCTCAAAACAGACTCACCTGAGCCACAAGGGAACTGTTCATCTGCTCCTGCAAGGCTCGCTTCAGCTGGTTCACATCCTTTTCTAGTTTCAGATATTCATTCCAGGCATTTTCCATTTCCTGTTAACAAAGGGAATACTCTAACACAATATTACAATACACCTGGAAGCTACTCTATCACTTTCTCAGCAGAGCATCTGACTGTTCTTAAGATGCTGCTGTTCCAAACAAATAAGATGAGAAATCTGCTCCGATGTCCAATTTGATCACAAACATCAAAACACTTCACTGCACTTGCAAGACTGATCACAGAATTCCTTGCAAGCCTTGTTATGGCTTGCTCACACAGAATCATTTCTTTAGCATAAATTTGGAATTTAGCAGAATCTGAACTAATATTGTAATATGCTGTCACAGAAACGAATCTATTGTATTTCTATTTTTTCATTTACTTTTTTTTTTTTTTTAAAACAAGACTATAACTAGAATCAAACCAGTCACCTAAACCATAATAGGAATATTATGGAATCACCATAATAGCAAACGCAGCAGGATATTCTTTAAATATCGTGGCAGACTGAAATGCAAGTTCTTTAGAAGTGAATAAAAAAAGCAAACACCTGGAAAATAAGGCTAATCATCCTTACATTTTCCAACACCTATAGCACGGAAAATACTATAGAATCTTGTTTATACTTGCATAGCCAAAGGAACTACCTTAAAGATTTGTAATCCAATGCCATACTTAAATGTCAGATCTACAAAAAAGTTTGATCTTTGGAGGGCAGGGTGGGCTGGGGAGGGGTGAGGATATTGAAGAAGACAGCAGGAGAGTGTTGTTTGTTTAGGGTTATTTTTCTCATTTGTTTTAGTATCTTCTATGTTAACCAAATCAGTTAAAACATTTCTCTACTCAAAAAAAAAAATCAGTTTTGCTGTAGCTAGCTTTTCAGTTATAGCTTCAGTGATGGTTTTCTTGAAAGAACCAGAATACATACAGTTGAAACTTTGGATATTTCAGCCCGAATACGTATGAGATCCTCTTGCAAAAGTCTCTGCTGGTAAGATATCTTTTCTGCATGTTGTGGTTGGTCTTTGTACTGTTCCATCTGTCTGTGTAAAACCTCCAAGACAGACTCCAGCTGATCCTAACAGAGAAGACAGTAGTAAGCTTAGCATGTTTACAGGGAAATTTACTGATTTACTTGTGGGAATATAAAAGTTATTTTCTACCTCTGCAGTCTTTCTTTAAGCTACTTACATTAGGATTTGCCTCTTGTTGTGGAGGCTACAATAGAAATGAAAAACTGGAAGAGCATTAAGAACTACTATAATCAAAATTATCTCACATTTTGTATTAAATCTGTCTAAGTAGATAAACTTCTGGAAAACATGAAGCAGCAAGAGAGAAATTTTCTATTTACAGTCTGTGTAGAAAAAAACCCTTAAGCAGTACAGAGCTGTGATACCTTACTATGGCGCAGTATAACAATCACTAAGGAAAAATTCTCATTCTCTGCAATATTTAAATTGGCCAAATGAAGGATTAAAATATTATCTAAAACACTAAGTAGGCCTGACAGAAATCAGCAAGTAACCCTGAATCATTTTTCCACAGCTGCTTTTCTTAAGGAGTTAACCAGGCTCTATTTTCATTTTAGAATAGATTTACTTCCGACCTACCTTGAATAAACTTAGACTTTTTGAAAAGCAGAGCTTAAAGGCAGTAAAGCAGATGAAGATACAAGGAAACATAAGGATAGAAAACCCTTTTACTACTTTATCACAGAAGATATTCCAACCCTCCAGAACCGAGTTTGCAGTGATGTAACACCACCACAGACCACTGAAATCACCAGAGATCTGAGCACCCCTCTCTCTCCCTCCTTTTCTTTCATTTTAATAGTCCAACTCCCCAGGCTGCAGTGAAAGCTGGACACAGGCCTTCCTCACATGCATCTCAGAACACTGCTCCTTATGCAGACAGTGTTTGTCCATACAGAACTGCAGTCAAAACATGACTCAGCCTCCTGCAACGCACCCGTTATGCCCTAAGGCAAGCTATACAGAAATGTGTATGCACTTCAGTTAGTCATAAACATCAGAAAAAAATAAATACGTGGTTTCAAGACATCCACTTTCAAAACCAGGCTTTCTGAAAGGGGGTACTTACATCTAACAATTTTATTTTCTTTACATACATTTACATAAATGCTCAAAGAAAATTACTATCATGCAAGCAGCATACAGTAACTTTTTTGTTTGTATTTACATTTTTTATGATTATAGCAAAGTTATTATTTTATAGAAAGCTTTTAAATCTATTTACTTTATTTTCCTTCAGGGCTCTTATTTTGTCTTCCAAGTCCTGTAGAATTCTGTCCTGCTCACAGAAAACACTTAGCTTGACCTAAAAACAAAGTCATAAATATGTAATGTTAGATTTTAGAAAAGAAGAAAAACGTCTCCCCTAGTAATGTTTTGCTCTCAGGAGTGTAATAAATGAGCACATATGTAACAATGTAAATAGCCAAAGAAATAAATGAGTTAAAGAAATCCACTAGAACAGTATCTCATACTTACATCAATATCACTTTCTGCAATCTTGACAGGTTTTGTACTTCGTTCTTTTAGTGTGTCACGCCCCGTCACCTACAAGGAATAGGTTTTAAGCATCTAAGAAATTGGTAGCAAACTAAAACCGAATTATGCTTCAACAATAAAGAAAAAATAATAGTTAAATATTCAGGCCTATCTACAAGGATTAATAAAAGATAAAATAAAATCATGGACACAGGCCTTTTCAAATATGCTTTCAATGCTCAAAGATGGTATCAGAAATGATAACCAGTCATATTCAACTGTGTACTAGATCTTGCAGGAACTTAAAACTGTACAAAGGAGCATAAACCCATTTTTCTATGGTTACAGAGGTATCTCACAAAACCTAGTAGTTTTTAACAGGTTGGCTTTGAAAGTTCTCATAGAGTCAAAGGAGACTATTATTTTAAATGCATGCTTGCAGGCCTAAACACTTGTAATGACTAAAATGCACATTTTTAGCAAAATTTTCATTCTCCAAAGGACAGTCGTCTCCAGAGTCCACAGTGGATTTTAACTCGGAGAGACTTCTACAAGAATGCTATACTTCAAAGAGAATAGCACTATAATTTAAGTGTCATTAATCTATTTTGACAGATAATTCTCTTTTCTAGCATACCAGTCTCACTCCAGTAAACACTGGTTCCACATTCAATTTTTGGTGAGAAGATAATCTTATCACAAACCCTATTTTTAAACTAATATAGACACTAAACTCAAATTCCAGCATTCGCAGCACTCTTAAACATTTCTACCTAAATAAATACGCCATCATTTTATTACTTTCACTGTCTACATTTGACTCTTTTTCTGAATAAAGACTAACAGAATTACTAATCTAGTATTGCTCATTAGTCACGCAGTTTTTAAAAGCCTTAAATTCAAATGGCTTAATGTTATTAGAATACTATTGAAGATTCATTAAAGCAAATAAAAAAGAAAAAAAAAAGTAGTACTAATATACTGTGCAATTTTATCCATAAACATGCAATAGTTTATAATGAGAAGTACACCTAAGTATTATTTTTCACAATTTAAAAGCAGAAGCTTTTTTTCTGTTGCAAGGAGAACAGGTAAGTCTGCTTTTTTTCAGACTTTACAGACTTTGAGGTCACTACTGCTATATAATTTTATTACCAGCTTAGCAGGATCCTATGAGATCATATTATCATTTTCTTAAAATAATTATTTTTCTTCTGTAAGTGTAGATAAAACTTTAGTAAACCTTCAGTTTATTGTTTACCATTTTAGATGAAGTTAATCACCTTCATACAGCTTTTTCAAATAATAAATTCTCTATAAAACAGAAGAGTAAATTCTGGTTTTGCTTAATGTCTCTTCTCCTCCATCTGCAGAGTCCCTTTCAGGTCATTACATTTGCTACTTCCTACCACCAAACACAGTAACATTTACTGCTTCTCCAAGGCACTTAGCTTTGATTCTCAAATATTTTCAACTTCAGTGGTTCAGTATTTTTCAAACAAAAGCTTTATTAACTATTAACTAAATCCTATCTATAACAGTAGGAAATAATATAAGCACAAATATTAGCATGCCCAAGTCCAAATATTGCACACTTAAGTACCTGTGAGCTAATGGAATGGAAAAAAAAGTCATTTTCAAAGCAATGAAGTTACTCTAAGAACACAAACTAGGTATTTTGTGGCTATTGCAAGTTATATAATCACAACTGTAAAGAAATTGTTAACTTTCAAGCAGTGAACACAAGAACTTAATGCAAGATTCAGCATGCGTGTACATCTTCAAAATTGCACATAGGAGCCACTACTTAACATAACCACTTTAAAAAATGACAAAAATGAAACCAAAGACTGAAATCAGCCATTTGTTTTGCATACAGACTCAAAAAAAAAGTTACAGAAAGCTTTTCTGTATGTCACCAGACACCTGCAAAAGCCAGAATACATAAACATCAACTGCTATGTGAAAAAGCGATGGGATGAGCACACTTGCGGTACAAGCAGTCTTACATGTATACTGGATAGTAACCCTTGTGCTGAGTTCTTTAGCACTTTGTAAATCATGTTGATCAGAGGTCCATTATTTTCTATCTGTTTCAAACAGAAGTTTAGTAATAGCTTATTATATATTTTAAAAAACAACCCCTTCAAGCTCAAAATTTCACAGGTAACAGTTACTCCTTACTCTTCTTCCACGCTGATCCTCAGAGTTTGCAGTCGGTACCGTCCCTCGCTGGGACTTCCCTGCTTGTTACATCTCGGGTAGGTTGGTCACCAGCCCATGAGGCTTTTCCATGGACGTTTGCAGAACACACGAACTCCGAACACCGAGCGCGCTTGTTCAGCTCCTCGCCCACCCCGGCTGTCTCCCTCCTGGGTGGCTGGGTGTCCTGCACAACCCACCCTTCCCTCGGGGCTGGGGACAGCCATGCAAGTCTGCGTGCAGCAGGGCCCCAGCTCTGCCACAGCGTGCTACACACGCACGTCCCTCTGCCTTTCACAAGTCCTAAACTAGAGAGAGGGGGAGTTTCCTCCTAATGTGAGTAAAAAGCTTTTAGTCTATTTTTAAAAACCTAAGAATCAGCTATTATTGAGTAGAAAAATACTGTAATTAATATCTCCAAAGCATTGTAATTTCATTTATATTACACCAATAAACTATAATGTGGAATGATACCATCTTGATACTAACACCACATCAGTTCTTTCTTCCCTATAGTTTAAGACTCTTCAGTATTCAAATATAGAACAGTACAGTAGGATAACAGCAAGACTTCTTTGGGGGCAAAAGCACTTGAAAATTATTTAATCTCATGTAATCAGTTCCTGTAATCAGTTTTAATGCTATAGTATGTATTATAAGGTTAATCAAATGTTTAATCACTATTTCATATTAAAAAGTCATCATATTTCAAAATGTCTAGGAAGAAATATGTTCACAGATAACAGATTAAAGTAGAAAAATTCTTTAGCTTCAGTCCAAAAATCTTCAGTCCTCTTTGAAACTGATTAAACAGAGTGGGCCTAACTCAATCCAAAGTCAAAAGGAGCCTTTAATTAGAAAGGATTTATACACCTAACCTTCGCTTTTTAATGAAAAGTATGATGCATATTAAATGTAAATTTGCCATATTCTATCTTTACCAAATTAACATGCAATTTATTTTGTTTCATGCAGCACGCTAGTCTTTCTTCTTCATATCTCCAAACAAAGCATCTCGTTAGTAATTTATCGTAAGGTAAAATAAATTTTTAACAGTACATTTACTTAAATTTCACTGTCTTTTCCATTGCTAAAAAAATCTAGCCTTAAGTTTTGCATTTCCTGACCATTACTGCAAGAAGGTTACTCTTTTAAGCTTGAAGATAGTTAATTGGGAAAGAAATGACAATTCTGAAAAATTAGGTCATTCATGCAGGCTGCAGGAAGGCACAGGCTGAGTTCCTAGTCTGCGTCTAACCAAGGCAGATCAAATGCTCTCAAAATGTAGCCAGCCATCCTAATAATTCCATTAAGCACACAGCATTTTCAAAAGTTTATAATCTGGCCAAACTTCTAACACAGGAAATCATTCCAATTCAGCAGTTGTTTTAAGCATGCTTTGGAATGGACAAGACACTGCATTTATTCATAACGTCCATCTCAGCATAACATCCATCTCAGATCACCAGACTTTTTAGTAACAAGCTGTCACAAAATTCAGCCTAAGACTTAAAACATAGTCAAATTGGGCAAAGCCGTGAACAACCAAGAACAAGGCCTGAAGTGAAATGTATCAAATGAATTTAAAATTGTTGTATTAGTGATTGCAACTGCTTATACTTTGATAGTAGAGATTATACACAGCATGCATATTATGCAACTCACGATATATATTACATTACCCATGTAATGTGCAAGAGGTATTACTAATGTTTTATATTTGATAGATTTGATTATATATTCAGTTCTTAAAAACACCAGATGAAATGCAAATTTGCTTATCAGTAGGTCCCATGAGCTCATTAGTTGCAGAGAGGCAATGCCCCTTGGCATCAGAGCGAACTACATCCATGTAAATGATAAGGTTAATTAGGTGCCAAATTTCACTCCACCTTGATTTTCAGAGATATCTTGTAATTTATGTATGGTGAGAAATGCTACAAACCACAAAGTGGTAGACTGATGCGTAAAGCCTAAGTTCTAGCTTATGGACCCCCCAACAAAAAAATCTGGTATTGAAAGCTTTGCTTTCAAATTACCTCCTATCAGATATGCCACATACAGAAATAACTTAGCTTAGACCTACAAGCATTAAATCTGATGCTTAGTGTCACAGGAAAATATCCTAGCCACAGCTAACATGATATTGACGGATTATATCTCTGCCTAAATATATGAAAGAAGTAAGGCTTTCAAACCTCTTTGCCAAAATAAATAGAAACAAACAAAAGGTGCAAATCAATCCACACACTGTCACAAGAGAAACACAAGATAATACTACATAGGATATTACAAAATTGATGAAAAAGTCAACTCTACTAGATTTAAAGAGGAAAAAATGAATCAAAAAGGACCTAGTAACACAAATTCTACCTAATAGCAGAAGCACCGATATTTTCTGAGCTTACATTTTACTTGTATAGTTAATCCTATAAAGTTAATCAATATTCTAGATACAAAAGTGATGGCAAAATTCAGACTTTCAGTTTCTGAATAGAAAGGCTTCTGAAACCCATAGTTACAAAGACCACACGAGACTGGTGGTTGAAAAAATAATGGAAGTAGATTCTAATAAATATGCATTACCTTTAGATCCAGATACTCCAAATCCTTTTTCAACTGGATGTAAGTGTCATCAGCCTTCAGGTGAGCACATAGAAAAAACAATGCAGTATATTTGAATATTTGAAAAACTAATTTTAATATATTTGTACTGACTATTCAAAAGAATATGGATGAAAGAGGAAACAAAATAACAGGATAGGAAGTACACAAAAAGCACATTTGCTTTACCAGCATATTGCTATTTATAGTGGAAAAATGGGCAAAATATTTCCATGAGAACTTTACTACCTCATGCCTACCCTCCACACACATAGCTTTGAATTTTCCACCTCTAACGAGATACGTGACTACCGAAAACAATAAATTTGGACACAAAAAGTTATTTTTTTCAATACCAATATCTATTTACTATCTGTTTATTGAAAAAAAATGATGGGGTTGCCACCCAGTGCATCACCCCTCTGTGTGTGGGACTTCAGCCAAACAATATCAGATGTAAAAAGCATCTATTTTACAACAAGTCATAGGAATACTTTTGATCAGATTCCATAAACATTCTACAGTATGCATCCCTTTAACAGATCTAAGAAATAAACTTTATGAATAAAATACTGAGTAAAAATCTCATGTATACAACTGGAAAAACAGTTTGGCTTTGTCAGTGATAGCATTCAACTCAATCCCTATTTTGTACTGGCTCATCAGTAGCTTCTATTAGCTTAATCTAAGTGCAGTTTGCAAGATCTTCATTACAGTGACTTGAAGAAAAGCATTCAGGACTGGCATAATAAACCTGGTTGTTCTTTTCAAAAGATTTAATTGCATTAAGCAACAAAATAAAACTTAATTGTTGCGATTATGCTTTATTAGCCAAAACACCTAGAATCTTTGCTGTTATTTTGTCATAATTTTATATTCTGGGTTTATAAAACATTAATATAAGAGAAAAACACTTCTGCACCTTTCTCAAGTTTTGATCCAATGCGTATTCAAGATAGGAAAGAAAACCCATGCATGACATAAAAGCAACACATTCCATTTGCATTTCTTCAGAGGTCTTCACTTGTGATTCTCACTCAATCAACTTGCAAGATTGGCTAAAGACTTGACTAGGAAGGATGCCCATTTTTTAATGGAAAAAATTCCTAGTATTACAACCCGGTTTAGTGCAACTGTTCTGTAGGTGAGGTAAACAGGGAAATTAAGTATTTCCAAAATGGAAAAGAAAAATCCTTTAATATTAGGCCAGTATGAAGGATTAATCAATTCAAAGAATAATCACCAGATTTTATTCCTAGATGATTCCATTTTTAAGGATCTAATACAACCCAGAAAGGTTTGTAGCTACGTTTCTGCTGCTTCTCACATTTACAGGCTTCATAGATCAGTGCAATCAAGAGCACTGCTAATGATTTAAGATGAGCTTTTATGAACTAATGTTCACCTGCAGAACTGACACAGCTACAAGCTCGTATTGAATGTACAAAGTGGTTGATGCATTCGGGTTTGCAGCTGACACAGCATGTGGTAAAGGGAGCCAATTCCATCATAAAAGCAGCACAGAGAGATGCTTTGGCTTTAGAATGAACATATCCCTATTTTATTTAACTCACTTCTCTGAAGACGCAGCATTTTTACAAACAGTATAAAAAGAAAAATACGTAACACTTTGAAACATATGCACTGGTGGTCTATAGCTTAAAGTGCTTATCTGTAATAGCAAGTACAACAGCAAAGGAAAACCACAAACAGTAAACCGAGAACTGCAGAATACCAAAGAAAGGGTAAGAAAGCACAGACTCAAGCATGCCACTGATGAAGCATTTGCAGAGTCACAAAATGTCATAGGCACGGATGAGCCAAGCAGCAGCTGACCTGATAGGTGGAATTAGTTGGCAAGTGCTGCAGTAACTGTGCGATTGTGTAATTTCTTATACTAGCCAACTTAGCCTGATGTCTCCTTAATCGAATGAGAAGCAATGTTAGCTCTTCAGGCTGCAGGTATTTAGACACATTGTAAAGAGGAAATTAGCAGTCTTCAGGGAGAGTAACTGTAATTACATTTTTCACCTCAGTGCCCAGAAAGCAGTTACTTGACATGATTAAGCAATTATTTCATCAACTATGCATTTGGTCAAATAAACAAAAAAAAAGCGGAGTCTAGAAATAAACCACAGAGGTTCTACAAAGAGCTCACTCCTGTTCACACTAAAGATAACTGCAATGCTCCTACAAGCTCTGCTGGGAGCCAGATAAGACTTCTTCATATTCAAGCGATTTTGTTGTTTAGATTTAGATTTGAAGATTTTAATTTTGATTAACAAAAAAAAAACACAACTACTAAGGAATAGGCAGGATTTGCAAACTTAGCTACAAAATTATGATGACAGAAAAAACAAAGAAATGGGTCTTAAAACTTACCGACTTGCCATGCAAACTGGGTGCGCTTACAGTATGGGTCATGTAGCCCATGGCTGGCATGGAGCGCCGGTCAATGTGGGTTGAGCCCTGCGAGAAGCCACAGACAGAACCGTGAGGATTAGCTCAAGAGACGAGTGTGTTTTACTGAAGGGAAAAGTCAGGAGATGCATCTCTGCCACAGATTTTCTACCAGAACTGCAGGCATGCTTAGGTGAGGACAACCTTCATGAGCCAGACACACACCTTGGTGATCACGTAAAACTTAGATGAATATGTGCAAAGTTAAGAACTGATAGGCTGGACAGATCTATGGATGCTGGTAGCACAAGATGCTTCAGAAGAATGTGCAAAGCAGTTTCCAAGGGATAAAACAATACTCAGAGTTTGAGGTCTTTCCACCCCACTATCTAATGTCTCTTAAGAGAAAGGCAGGCTGGTTTATGCCTGTAGACAGAAGTTTCTTGCATAAACTACACTAATAACCATGAAAGCCCTTTTTAGCCATTGAACAATCACCGCTACTAACTTACTGACGTGAGTGACATCTTGTGGCAATGAATTCCATTAATGCCAGGTCTTATTTAAAAATATTTGATCTGTCCCTTTCTATTTATAATGAAAACTTATTTCACATATATTCTTTCAAGTTCCATATTCCTTTCAATGCCAAACACGTTTTTCTCCAAGACAATTTCACATTTTATTTTTATTCCTGTCTGTCACTGAATGTTGCTTTGTTCCCCAAAATACACTATATATATATTATGTGTATGCCCTTCCAAGATTTTAGGATAAAAATATTCCAAATCAATGTCACCTGCCACAAATCTTCCTTTGTAAACCAAAAAAAATTAATAAAACTGTAGTTATCTGAAAGATATAGTTCTACAAAAAAATCACTGTGTTAAATTCTAAAACTTCCAGGACCTTTGATACACAAGGAAGGATATAATGGAAATGACTAAACTAAATCATCAATGTATGATACTACTTATAAAATAGCGTGTAGTTACTATCATACTCTATACAAACCTTACCTTTACAGCTTGATTTCGAATCTTCCTGGGTGATCCAGCAAAAGGGACGTCTACAGTCTGTCTCTCATCGGATGGTTTAACTGTGAGCCTCTCTGCAGGAGTGTGGGGTCTCCTGGGTGGAAAGCTTTTCGGAGGTCCAGGCGGAGGAATATCAGATGGAGATGGTGGGACAGATATTGACCGTGGAACATCCAATGAACTTTTTGACTTTCCACGGTCAACAAAGTCTGGGAAGCCTGCATAAAGCGGGGCAGTGGGGCTGCCGTGTTTAAACTGCTGCCTCTGTTGCCATTCATACAGCTGCCAAACAGTTCCGTCCTTATTTGCTTTCCTTTCCTCCTGCGACATCTTCAAGTGGCTAACACGGTCTTGAGCATATTTGTAGTCACTCGGCAAATTGCGGTTTGGTGGCGGGGAAGAACTCCCTGAAGGCTGCCTGGTGTTCTTTGGCAAGGTGTGATAGTTCTCAGGAAGAGACAGAGGAGGATTGGGACCCTGGCGTGTAAGAGTCTGATCAGAAGCGAGGCTGGGAAAAGGGGAAAAAAGTCACAATTCAGCATATGTTTGTGAGTGGGAGCAACTGATACAAAAACCTCCTCTAATTACTTCAGCGTAGCAACTAAAGAAGAGAATATACAGGGAGCCTTTAACAAGACTTTACAAAACAGTATTACTGAATTCATAAAACCCCAAAACATTACACTATATTCATGCCAAGACTGGAACAGTCTAAACAGAAGGTGTTTTTTTTGTTTTGTTTTGGTTTTTTTTGTTTGTTTGTTTTTTTGCATCTAACTTAGAATGACCTGCTAGAAATAAACCAGAGGTTCAGATACATTATCTATGCTCACATGAAAATGAATGTCAAGAATATAGAAAAATTATGTTGTGTTTAAAGCAAATTTGTAATTTTTTTTAATGAAAACATTGCCACCACTAGGTGGTGCAGTTGGAGAACAACACATACACATGCATTTTAAAAAAAACACCTTAAAAGAGTACAAGATAGCATTTGACCAGAGAGCTAATACCACACATGCTTTCCTTCATTTACATGAACAAAATGATTTAGAAAAAGCTCAGAAAGCAAATTCTTGCAAATTCAGATATAAAGGGATGTTACATCCTAGCTTTAGTGGTACATCCATAATTTATCTGAAATTGTAGCACTTATCTCTGCTAACAGATTTAACATAGAAGCAGCAAAAGCACTTTTGACACAAGGTATGCTTAGTTCCCTTTCTTTTTGAAATGAAAATCTTTCCGTAGTCTGATGTGTAACACCACACTTGTCTAATTTCTGTTCCTCCAAATAAACATAGGGCGGCTGTACTTGTAATTACCAGTCCACTGATTCTGCATCTTGAAATAAAGAACTATTCTCCTAGGCTTGCAATAGAGTAACAGTACAAAAAACAATAGCAAAAAAATCACAGCACATTCCTCACTTCAATTGGGAGCTGCATTCCCTACGTGAGAATGAGAATGAGGTGTTGAAACTGTAGGAATTCATGTAAAAGAAAGCACAAAATGAGAAAAACTTTGTTCAATATCCAAGAAGGAGAGAGACAGGGCAGTGAGATGCCTTATCAGTAACTGTCATTCAATTGTTGCCTTTCTGCATTTCTACTTGCAGGGTTTGGCACTGCTGGTGCTGTCTTGAAAAATGAATGCTCCTAAGATGACATGCAATTCCGAGAAAGCACTCCAATTGCCCTACTCTATCTACAGGATTTTAACTTTATGTAAGCTCTGCTCTCTCGTACCACGCAAGCTTGATAGCACCCAGAACTCCACAATACAGGACTTTTTTTTGAATGTCCCAAATATGATTTATACAATGTGGTGGGAATATCTTTAAGTACAGACCAGACAAGATGAATAGCGAATGGTATAGTTTTAGCTGAACACAAAATAGCAGGACTCAAATCTGCCATTTTAATGAGATACTAAACCCAGGCAGCATGAAATGAAATCCTGAGTTGCTGTTTTGCAACCATAAAAAAATGCAGTTTCATCAACTATGAAATAATATATGAGGAAACAATCCTGTCAATCATGAGAGCCTCTCTTGTATAATTTATCACTAGTATCCCAGAAATGTTGGTTGGAAAAAGCCCCTGGAGATCCTCTAATCCAGCTTCCCACACCAAGCAGGACTGTCACCAACACTAACTTGAGTTAGCCATAGCTCTGTCTATCCTATTACGTTGCACGGACTCTAATCATACACTCTCAATTGCCAATCCTTTCCATAGGAAAACTGAGCACATTTCCTTTAGATAGGAACAAAATCTGAGAAAGCTTGGACAGATAATGCTGTCAAAGCAAATATGAGACAGCAAATATGTCAAAGCTAGGACAAAACCTTTTTGCTGTCTTCACTGAAAAAGAGAGTTCCTCCAAACTATTCCACACTTGCTAGCCTTGTTATGCCATCTCTACAAAGTATCACTGTGATTTGCTCTAAGCATGTTACAAATAAATATTTTCCTTTAGTTTAAGAACATTCTATTATGAAGTTTATTTCAATATTGGCCTGTTAACTAACCTCTTTGTATCTCCTTTTTGGACCTTTACCCAGTGCTCCACTTGAGCCATGTTGCTTTTTCTCTGAATCTGTTTATCTGGATTTGTTCTGGGAACAAACCCTCTTTTATAAGAGCCGGTCCCATTCTGCTCCGCTAGACCAGCACTCCGAGTTAATGAGCTGGGAAGCGTCCCATTCTTCTCAACAGGCTGGGGCTGAGCTCCTTGGGCCCGGGGTGCACTCGTTATATCTGGAAATAATGAATCAGCTTCTGTTAATGCATGCTTGGCCTTTCCTTTCTTGGCTTCCAGAGTTTCTTTTCGGTGGATGTAACGCTCCTCCTCTTTTTCTCTTCTTATCTCTTCACGATCATCATATCCAAATGTTTCTGCTGATTTTTTATAACTTTCTTTTAAATCTGAAATGTCTGCCTTCGCAAGCTCTTCACAGGCATCCACGTGATTCGCTTGGGGAACAGCTTGCTGATCTGCTTTTTCACTTCCTCTGAAAAGAAAATACGTGCTGGTAATGAACACAGTTTTAATTGTGAAAAGTTGAGGTGGTCTCATTAATATTTTAAAAAGGATCATACACAAAAGCAACCTTTCCAGGACGTGAAAAATTCAACAGAGGTGTGTTAAGAAAGATGTGCTCAGTAAAACTTAGTTGTGATCCAATTAGACACAAGTTGTCTTTACAGTGCTATCAGGGAAACAGCAATCTTTCATGTGCACCTATGAAAATCAACTGACAAGTATTCACTTTGTGTATCAATAACTATGCATAAAAAAAGGATCTTATTCTGGGAAGTATTAAAAGCCAACAAAACAAACAAACAAAAATCCTGCCAATTGCTCATTTCGAAGTTAAAAAAAAAAAAAACAAAAAAAAAACAAAAAACCACCTTTCAGGCTTTTGTACGTGCCTTAGGGACTGCTTATTTCTGGCCAAGGAAACGGAACAGTATCAATATTTGAGTAAAGGGTATCACTGACCCAGCAATCTTTTATTTGGGGTGTATTCCAAACAAACAGGACAAAAGAAAACAATGCCATCAAGAGAGCTCACTCCAAACACATCCCATGAAAACTTGTTCATTTGCCTCATCTTTTAAATCTTTCAACAATTCCACAGAATTCTTTGGATATTCGTTTAAGCTTAACGAAACACCACGCAATGTCTAAAGGTACTACAAGTTTTCACACTGCATTTGAGAACTCAACAGCTTCACTTGCAACTTAGTCTCCTTATAGGCGTAAACTTCTCTATGACATTTTTCTCCTGACATTTCAATATTGATCATTGTTCTCCAAATAGTGATTCATCTTGCTGAAACCAAGTTCAGCTTCTTTAGTGCTTTAAGGAAGGTAAATTCTGAGCAAGTTCCATGAAAAAAAAAAAAACCTGTCTTCAGTTTATTTTAGTGTCTCAGAATGAACAGACTACTTGGATTAAAGATACTGGATTATTACTTCATAATACACTAGGCCTCCCTGATTTTTCTTTCAATTACTCCTATCCTTAAAAGGGGCATAAAGAAAAATACATGAAGGATTAAATGCTATTTGCAATTGAAATTAAAACCAATAAAAAGACTCCTAATACAGAATCAGACAGGTATAACAGCTTTGAGAATTATTTAGGACAAGAAAATGCAAAGCTCTGGAATTGATGTTGATCCTTTGCTCATATTATACTTGCCAGATTTGCCAGAAGCAAGCACTAGTGCAAGGTACTCTGAGAAACTGCATCATGATATCTTAATCCTCAGAGCCCCAGGGTTAAAAGTAGGGCCTCCTCACAATGTAGCATCTTCCTTCACAGTGCGTAGTATAGGAAAAAAAAAAAAAAAAAAAAAGAACGTATTCCCAAAGTGTAAACCTGAAGAAGGATAAATCAATTTTAAGCAGAAGCAAAACTGGAAGCACAAAGACATGGCTGAATTCATTTGCCTCTAGAGTTAGGCAGCACTGATGGACATCATCTCTTATATCCATGCTTTCTTCTACTTTGAGAAAACACAGAACTCTATGGCCAGGTCAGCAAGCCAAAAATTAGCAGTTAATACAGGAGTTAATGCACATAACTCTGAGCACATACCATCTACCCATCTTTAGCATTCCTTTCCCTCTTACCAGCATTTTAATCTGAGTTCTAAACACTCATTTGAAACAATTCACTACTCTTGTCTTTTCCCTCTCCCTACTTCCCTTCATTTAGCAATTGCAGGTATATGAATATGCTCACAAAAATGCAACAGTTTAAACAAAATTCCCTCAAAATAAAGAAAGAAAAAAGGAAATGTCATCAAATGTGGGTACAACATTTCTACATAGATAAAAATATTGAGCACTGGATTTTACTACTTAACTTGTGTGAACTGACTAACTTCCAACAGAATAAACAGTTGCATTTCTATAAAATAGGAGCAAGTTCCATGCACACATTTAAAAATATCATTTTTACAATTCACCAGTCAAAAACTTTGATTTTTGACCAGCTTTTCTTAGCTAAGTGTTGGTTTACTGAACTTGCCTTTTCAGTGAAGAGCGTGTTTGCATAAGGGCAGCTTGATTCATAGCTCGGATCCAACCATTCATGTCCTCCTGAGTATCTGCACTGAAGTAGTATGTCCGCATCCCTGAATGCTCTGCCTGAGAGCCAATGACAGAATTCTTATTGTAAATATAAGCCCTCATTCCTGTGTGAACAGCCTGTAACAGAAGGGAAATAATAATAATAATAATCAGGCAGTGCTATCATTTTTTCCCTGAAATTTTTTCAGCTCTGCTTGATACCTTTAAAAATATAACAAACTTAAACACAGGAGTGTTTGAACTTAGATAAAAAGATATTATAAATGTAATGCAACAAACTCATATATAACAGTACTCTATTTTTTACTTAAATTCCTTGACTTCTTTTTCAGATTATTAAGCAAACAGTGCAGCAGTCCTGTTTTTTCATAGAAGGGATTTTCAGCTTTATATTTTCTTTTAGGTAACTGAATTTTCATTTGCCGTAAATACCATACAAAACAAATCAAAGAAATTCTCATTGAGATGTGCATAAGTGAGCCCATTTTCCCAGCCCACTTCACATGGCAATTTATTCAGCCAAAACAGGACAAAAATCTTACAATTCAAGCAATTAAATTCTTATTTAAGACATGATTATAATGCATGTTAAGATTTTTCGGTTAAAGCATGCACTTAAACATCTGTATTACATGTAAAATTACAAGACCTTGATAAAGTTAGTAGCACTGATGGAATTATCAAAGCACACAAAATACAGGTATCTGTGCACACCAAAATATTTCATGAAATTCCACTGAAAACTAGAGGTACGGTGGAATTCCTTTATATTTACACAACTAAATATTACTGTCATTATGCACAAAATATTTTTAAAAAAATGTTTAATATGGAATGTCTCCAGAATCTAATGACAGTTAAGTTCAAATCTCATGAACATTTCTATAAGGGATGCATTAAGTTCTACCAGTCCTGAACACTTGACTATTTCCTATTAGTGAATTTACAAATGTGCTTCTGATATAGCCCACTACTGTTAATGGAATTAATAGGAAGAGATTCCTTTCTTTACCACTTCTCAAAAAACTGAAGTCAGCCTACTCAGCTTGAAGGTTCCTACAGCCATACTTAAAGAACATGAGTAACTTTTTTTTTTTTTTTTAAATAAATCTAAAATTATTATCAGGAACTAAAGCTAATGGCTCCAAACACTCCTGAAGTAGCATTGTTTTTCTCCCCCCCGCCCCAAAGGATAAAAAACTCTCAACATCTTAATCAAGCTGCATCTTTTTAAGGTCAAATATATTTTGTATGCCTTCCCTAAATGACAAGTCTTTTAATTTTGATGGAATCACCTCTCCCTCATTATTCCAAATTGAATAACACCGCACAATCACAGATGCCTTCAGAAACACAGCAATAGTCCTCACAACACCCAGGCTACTTCCCAGGCTACCCAGCAAGTTCTTCAACTGCCATCAAACCTGCAGCAGAAGGTGGACCAGACTGTGGCTAGCAAGAGGAGGATGAGGAGGGGTGTACAGAAGCCCAAGACTAGTTTCTGCTCCAAAGAGTCTCTGCTTCCCAACAGGATTGGCAGCAAGAGAAAACAAGATGACTTTTCCCTTCCCAGCAATTAGCTCCCCTAATACAGGAAAACAGGACATACATTTATGAAAAAGCAGGTCTGATCAATTAAATATTTAGGAATCACAAAGGAGGGTTTTAATTTTCCTTATTTGACTAACCAGCTGATTCATTGAGTTCTTTGACATTTGTTATTTTTTTTTTCTTCCCTCTATCTTGAGACCACTCCTTGAGACCACTAAGGTCTAAGTCTTGGGTTAAGATTTGCTCAAAACGAACAAGATTTAATTCACGAAAATACATGATTAATATACAGTGCAAGAACAGACTGGAAGCAGTAATCCAGAAGTAAAGAAAATTGGTGATTTAGGTAGACCTTATGACTACAGGCTTCCTTTATAAACCACTTTGAGTCTAGAAAAGAAGCTGTAATTCGGAAGTGAAGCAACTCCTACTTTCTCCTACAGAAGGAAGCAAAGCAGATTTTTATATCCTCCTATGGATTACACAGTAGAGGTCCCATGTTCATTGGTTAAGTATTTGTAGAAAAATACTGTGTGCAGTAGCAGATTATTAAATGGATTTAGGAGTTGCCTGTGTTAATTCACCTGTATGCGCTGAGCAACATGATCAGCCTGCTTTTCATGTTCTCTTTCAGTAGTGCTGAACCATAACTAAAAGCATTGCCTAAGGGACTGTAGGTGAAAATGGCATAAAAATGCAAAGTATACTGCCTCGGTCTCCCTCGAGGGACTGAAGCGACCATGACCATAAACACTCAAAGCTTCAGAAGGGATAATGGAGGTGTTGTGCTACTATCAAACAAACCTTGCCGTCTGCAGATCTTAGCATATAAGACAGGCTAAAGGAAAATTCAAATATTTTTCTGTTATTAGTAGCACATATACAATACAAAAAAGCAAATTTGTGTTAATGTCCTGTAGCTGTCACTGCTAGCAGGCACAGAGGCTAGTGAACCTCTATTTTTAAATTAAAGCAATAGGTATTAGGGTAACTACGGCATACTAAAAAGTCTAAAACACAGCACATGCATACACATACACCAGACACACCATACGGAAAAGATAATATTGGTACCTATTCATGCATTCAGATGCCTTAATGTGGATAGATTGAGAAGAAAAGCAGTCTCTCTCCCATAATGCACAGAAGGAGAAATGGACAGTAAACCCCAAGAGCAAATCAATAGGAGAAGACAAGGACAAAAAGTTAAACAGGTTAAAATAATGAAAAGCGATATTTTCAAGGAAAATATTTATCAAAAGGCAGTACTAAGAAAAATCTGCAGTAAATAATGGCAGTTCTCCTAATGAGCTATAAAAATACAGCAAATTTTCCTTTCTCCTAAAGTTAGAAATTTATGAAACATTTACAAACAAATAAGGAAATAATGCCCTATTCCTTTACTATAACACAACAGCACACTAAAATCCAACTCATCTTCAGTTCCAAGTAAGATTGAAGTTTTTCAGGTGTTCCGGAAGCTGGGACATTTCCTACCCTCTTCAGAGTATTAACATGGTGCCTCTATTTTCTAGCACTTGACATCTCTTTTTGTGGCTCTCTAGACTCCCAGAAGGTTTGTAAATGATATGGGAGCCTTAAGAAACAAAACATTTCAGAGTACATAAAAGAACAAAACTGTCAACAAAAAATTGAAAAATAGTAACATCACAAGCAAACAGGGTGAAAAAAAAATTGACAGGGTGAATTTCTGATATAAAATTTTAAAAAGGTACGAGGCAAAGTTAAAACATAACTGGGTAAACTCCACTCTTATCTCCTACCCCTTCGGGAAATGGCAAAACCTGCTTCCTTGCCTTTATTTGTAGCAAGGTGTGTTCCTGTATGCAAACACCTACTTGTGTCCATGGCCTTTCCGTGAAGTCTAACTGTTGGTTTCTTTACTGAAGATGCTGATAGACCTACCAATTTCCTCGGTTTCTATTAATATCAGATTTGCATAAAGAATTTACTTCCAGTATTCTATTACATATTCCTAACACATATAAGATCGCTTAAAAACAAATGTTCTGAGTGAAGGCAATGAGGCTTCTAAAAAGGCCAATGCCATTAACATTCATAAACTGATAATACCAATAAAAACAGATAAAACTAATAATAATCAGGCAAGTATTACAGTTGTGCAAGCCTTTTCACAGTAAAAACTGAACAAAGAATTTGCGATACCTCACAATTGTATTGGTAAAAAATATAAGCAAATATAGTGATTAGATAGATATCGATAACACTTTCGGCTAAATATGCAGTAAGGATCCTGAGTCCCAAAAGCTCATTATAAAACTTAACAACAGTAGTTATAGCTAGTTATCATACTTCACTTGAGACAAAAAAACAATGTGAAAAAATTGTCAAAAAAGAAAGTTAAAAATGATACTTCTAAATAAAACAATTTCACACACACACTGCTGCACTTCAAAGTAGTTCTCAACTGCATTTGAACACCTTATATGCAGTTCTACTGGCATGTCACAGTAAAAGCCTTCTGAGAGATGCAAAATCCTGAGTCAGCCTCAGGAGATCATTAAAGGACCAGAGTTTTTACAACTCCTACAGTGTACAGTTTAAGCAGAGTTTTTAACATATATCCTAGTAAAGACTATTTTAAATACATTCTCCTAACTTAATCACAAACAAAAGGCATTAATATATTTGCCATGTACATTTTCTTCTTTTAAAGAAGAGATCTTTACCCCTCCACTTCCAACCTTGGCTACTTCTCTAGCTTCAGAATATTATTGTTACTGGACATGGACATTTAAAATAGAAGCTGAGACCTCTGTTGTAACAAGCAGCTTATAAAAATCTGAATAACTAACTGGGCCATATGTAAAATGTGACATGGCACATTCTGCTACCCACTCAGGACTTAACATGTGCAAGTCCTATCTTTATGTCAGTCTTAATCTTCCTGTGTTTTCTATTTCTGTCTGTACCGTGCCATGAGACAGAATGTCCATCTATGCTCTGGATACGCAAGAGTACTAAGCGATTAGATAGCTCTAACGGCCGCTGAGTGATGGAATTCCAGCAAGGCCGCGTTCCCGCTACCCTGCACACCCGTGGCTGACGTCAGAGCGTGGAATTTCAGCATTAGGTGTGATCCATGCTACAGAAATCTTACAAAATCCTCCTAACGCTGCAAAAATCAGCTTTGTATGTAATGACTACAGTAACACCAAGCCTGCAGTCCTCAATCATCTGTCATTTAAAGCAGAGTGAACACCAGTCCAACAAACTCTACTACATAAAATATGTTGTGGATTTCTTGAATCAGCTTTTCAGCATTTTTTGTTATAAAACAGTATCAGCTTTTATTTTATTTATTTCTGACATGAGCCATACTTTGAAATCCCAGTTTATTGTCTATCTTCATTAAGATTCAGACATTTGCTATAACATTTGCTAAAGCTCATACAGGAATGATATCCCAGGCCATTTGAGAAGGCACCTAGAAAGGAAGTCTAACTGCTTCTGAAAACAGCTAACCATCATCACAACCATGGATCCTGTTTTGCAAGAAAACATAGCAGTGACTTGAGAGCCTGTCTACAGAGTACTCCATTTGAAAAATACAGATGTACATCTACCCAGATACAGCTCCCCATCTTCTGCCACTGCTAGCCTTGCATCGGTTAACACAAACCTAATTTACTTTTGATCAACATTTGCAAATATTTTTCCAAGAAAATAAACAGTCTTTTTTAAAAATTCCCCAAAGCATTATATGAAAACAGATATTATTGATATTTTATCTCCTCCCCCACTCTGCACTAGTACTTATTTGAGAGAAATGGAAGTCTAGACAGGCATTGGATCCATTACACGCTTCTTCCTAGGAAAAAGCTCCAAAGGAGGGGGGCTTTATGAATTATACTCATTAAATATTTGAGCAAAATCTTAGAGAGAGTTCTTCTGTAACTTGCACCCTTATCTCGCCTCTAATGCATTTAGAAAAGTACTATAACCAGAAAATGTATATACCAGAAAATGCACTGGATCTTGTTAAAAAGGCCTTTTCCAATCACTATTTGCTTAATAAATTTCAGACCATTATCCACTTGAAAATAAATCCCAAAGAACAAAAGGCAGCCTGGGTTTTTAAAATCCCATGAAAATCAAAATGAAGTTCAAGATGAGCAGATATTTTGGGTGACTTTTACACAGATTTAAAAAGAATCTTTCCTTTTTGATCAGGTATAAGTGATCTAGAATTGCAAAACTTCTTTTTTGGTTCTGCTCCAAGTTTAGGTATAATTTAAGTGCTGCAGCCAGACAATCTATTAAAGGCAGGTTTTTCCACTGTCAAAGAACAACATATGCTTTATTTCATTTTCATACATTTTAAAAATTATGAATAGAACAAACTATAAATTATCCAAATAAAATTAATTTAAAATATAAACTATAACACACAAAAGTATTTTTATTTTAAAAATATGCAAAAAAATACTGAATATCACTTAGGGCTACACTGTAGTTCCCAAAGAAGAAAGGAGAAAAAAAGTCAGGCCATTTTCCTCCTTCCTTAAATGAGTAAATTTACATCAAAAGTCACATTTGTTGTGTTTTTCTGCCAAAAATGAGCTTGTTGTATCACTAAAAAGCAGAATATAAGATCAAGCACTCTATTAAAAAAATCTTTCAATTCATAAAACAGTGGAATAATTTATCAATATTAATTTCTGATTTTAGAAAAAGTATCTTTACTGATAGAAACACTATGAGGTTCTAAAGACACTTACCTAGAAGCCGAGGGATGAATTTCAATCTATTAGTGTTAAGGAAGCGCTATGTCACATTTGAATAGGGAGTCAATAAACCTGTCTGATTTCAAAAAAATTTAGGCAAGCGGATGATGCATCTATAAGAGCACCTTTTCTCATGAAGATAAACATTTCCAAATATGCCTAGCTAATAAGCTTTGCAACTGTACCTTAAAAGAAAATTTCCGATTTATGCGATCTTCAGGTCCAACAGGAGATATTACGTAACTAGGCAACGGTATGCTACCCAAAACAGATTCTTCTCTGCTGTCTGTTGAATAAATAAATAAATAAAATCTATTTCATTGCACTTTTCAGTGGGGAAACAGTACAAACTCCTTACGGACATATAGGGGTACATGACAGGAAGACAAGAGACAATAACCACATTGGCAAAGAGCAAGTTCAGACTGGAAAGAAAGAAAAAAAAATGACCATGAAGACAGTGAAGCAGTAGAGAGGGCTGATAGAGAGGATGCACAGCCTCCATCCTTGGCTGTTTTCACAATCCAGCTGGGAAAAGCATGAGCTTACCTGGCTCTACTTTGGGCAGGAGATTGGACTAGATACCTAAGACCCTCCATCAATAAATAAATGGGGAAATTATTTATTTTTAAAGAAGTGACAGTGAAATATTGATAATCATGGAAAATTTGGCATGTTTTTTTGTTTGTTTTGCCCTTTTTTTTTTTTTGGAGGGGTTTTGCAGCAGAAATGCAGAAGCTACAAATATGAATGAAAGCTTCGCATTTGATAATGCTTTCCAAGAACAGTAACATGCAACACAGTATTTGAAACTTCACAATAGCCTGATGTAATATATTATGCCATTATTCCTAACCCAGACTAAGATTACATCTAATCTTTTCTGATAGAAACGCTGGCTTCATAGTTCCCACTCTCACATTACCCCCATTTTAAAGTTGAATCATTTCCCTGATCAAGTTGTCTTGCATTCTCTAAAGCAGTCATGCAGGCTCCAGCAAGTAAGCAACTCAAGGCAGAATGAGGATGAGAAAAAAATCTTAAACTGGAATTGCTGCCAAATATTTTGTAGCGTAAATCTTGGCATAAAACAGAAATGTGTTATGTGATGAAAGATCATGCATGTTCTTGATCCAAAGTTCCGGCCTGAAAGCTGCTACGCACTGAAAAGATGTGGGTAAATTATAGCTCCATGATGCATCTTCTCAAACTATCCAACTTTATCTAAAGAATTAAGTTGGTTTATTCTTACAAAGCGGTTTGAACAGGGGAATCATTACAAACTCAAAAGATTTTGAATTACCTACTCACCTTTGTAGTAAAACAAACAATAATCAGCAAGCACAAACCACCGTCTTTTCCATAATCTCATTCCAGAGCTATCCTGAAAAGCAAGAAATACGATACACGTTTTCCTTTTAAGAAAGGTAACTAAATCATACAGTGTTGCACCAGTTAGTGCCTTACCAGAATATGGGATTATTTGCAAAAATAAGGTTTTTTTTTGTATTTTAGCAAAATATGTATTACGAAAGCTACATTAATCTACAAAACAATCGCCTACAACACAACATTAAAACTGACAATTTTCATTAAAATATTAAAATCATACCAAAGAGTATTCATCTTAATCTTGCACACAACCGCTGCATATTTCTTTCTAGACTAATTTGTCCAGCAATGAGGAAATTAAGTATGCATTCAGATGGCATTAACTCCAACAAGGACTGCTCTTAGAGTAAGATAAAAATCACTGTGTAGGGCTGAAGTACGACTGCACATTTCAGAAAATATCTCCTACATTCCTATAGCTAATTTGCCATATGCTGCCTATTGCTAAAACACAGAGTAATCAACTACTCACTATAAATATATATATATTTATAAATATATATAAAATAGGGTACACAATATGCAAGATTAAATGAAGTATAATTTAACATGCACATTAAGATTTGGAGAAAGATTTTTAAGATATATCAGTTTGGCAAAAATGAATAATATTTACATGGAAATTAATTTTAGATGGTTGTAAAATTGCCAGACCATAACCTAAGTACAACTTATTAAAACTGAGTTAGGCTTTGATAGTGTTACATATACACGTATTTTTCTTCTTCTTTTTGTAGCCATACTAAGTATGCAACAGCTTTCTTCCCTTTTTCATACTATAATGCTGTTAACACATAGCGTGTCTGAGTGCTGATTCTGTCCTGAAAACTAACAGACTTAGGTAGTGCATGTGAACAGAACTGATGATGGAACATGGACCTTTATGCAGGAGCAAGTGAATTGCTGCCAGCAATTGATGTTTCCTGTGTACATAGAATCATAGCTGCAAACCTAAGATCTCAGCCTCTAATTTAGCTGCTGGATCTCTAGCAATAATCTGGTGAACACTAACTCAAATTTGAAGGTTTAAAGTATTTTCTCATAAAGCAAATAGCTTTATTTACTTTTTGCATCCGAAGATGTGCTTTAGACATTTTGAGAGCTCAAGATGCAACAGTTGCAAAATTCTGTGCACTGACTGAAATCCTACAATCCAGCCTTTGTCTGGACAGTGGTCTTGGCGACAGTTTAGCATGGTGAACAGGTCCCTGCCTCCCTTCATCTTCTCTCTCCTGCCTCTGGAGAACAAAAGACAAGTGAGTTGGAACTAAGCCTCCAACCAGGGTATAAGGGGCATAAGCATGCAGACAGAGTAAGGTCTTCAACCTCAGGCTTTTGGTGCCTTCTGAGGGAGAGGAGATCAGCATGGCAGCAAGCAAGCAGGATGAAACAGGGAAAATAATGAGATTTAGAAAATAAAGTTACAGCCTCAACATTTAACCATTACGACACTATATATTTATCTTTGTTTCCATTTCTGACTCAAGGTTGTATAAAAAACTTGGGTTTCCTACTGACAGAGCACAAGGCATTCATTATTGAAGATGGTGGGAGTTCCAAACGCTGCTCTGTATCACTAATCCAAATCCTCTGTCGTTCACTCTTACCTGAAAGGCACTTGTTTGAATTTGAGGATTATATTGAAATACATAAACAGAAACAGATGATTATACGCATACCTGTTTGTGTAACCAGCCTCTTACTATAACAGGAACATTAGGATTCCTCCTGATTGCTTGGTCCCTCTTTCCAAAGCTATGAACTTTGCTTCCAGCTTTCACAGCCTGTAAATAAGTACACTGTAGCAGGTTTTTTTTTAAACTGTACTGTAGGCAAATTTCATGCCACAGATAACTTTGCTGCAATAATTCATGCTTCAATATACAGTATATTATACAGTATAATTATACAGTAAGAGTATTTTCAGCATATTCAAAAGTAAGTAAACAGTTAAGCTTTACAATACTTGCAAACTCAATTCCCCATTCTCATCAACATATCAGTGTCAGAAAGATTTTCCAATGCCCAGTTGAAGCTCAACAGCCCTGGTATTAAATATGAACACTGCTGAAGTTTCACTGTGCTTCAGAAGTATTTTTGAGTGCATTAAAAGAACTGCTTGCAACTCTCTCTCTGCAACACGGTACAAGTCTCTTACACAGGAGTTCCTGTAGATCAATTCTGTGCTTGCCTTTCCCCCCAGCTCCTGTTTAAACTCAAATAAAATAAGCAGCTTGGACTTTGATCCTACAAACAAAAGCAGATCATGTAGAGTGACGCTGCTAAGGAAGACACCTAAAGAGTAGTAAGCAAAAATTCTAAGGACTATAGGTTTGCATTTTACTGCAACCCCAATTTTGACTCAAATGGGCAAAATAATATCAAAACAAGCAGAAAATGTCTATGAAAAAGACAGCAGGAGTACCTAGATGAATAATCTGTTATTTTCCAATTTTAGCACAACTAGATTGTAAAAGTTTCTAAAACAACTGAAATTACACCAGCTTTCAGATTCATTCCAGATTCATTCTGTCTTCTCCCTACAATGCCTCTCCAAGGTCTCCTTTGCTCAATTTTCTCCTGTCAGCTGCTCAGGGGACTGGGGCTCTGTCAGCTGCACACAAACAGCAGCTCTGGAAACAAGCACGTCTGTCATATGCAAGGGATGATATAATAAAAATGTGTCCATACTGTACTGTATTTGCCTGCCAGGCAACATCTGGACAAAATGACAGCATAATTAACCATATAATGCTCTACCAATATATGATAACAAAAGAATGAATTAATTTTTCTGATAGTTTTTCTCTCTTCTCAAGGAGAGTCTGAACAAGATTTACTGGTGGTCGAATGCTACTGGAGAGCATCTGACCTGCCCCACTACCAAAAACTAGCACAAATCAGCATTACTAAAACTGCTTGCAGCTTTCTGAGCAGAAGCTTCCTATAGACACCTGCCTCTGTAAGAGGCATCAATACACAACTAAACTCTTCTAGTTCAGATCTAGCATCTTGAAGCAAACTGCAACCAAGGCCTGACTAAACAGGGCTGACTGAGCAGCAGCAGGTTTATGAGCAGATGCCCACACCGTTCAGTGGGCAGTGGCAATCACCAAGATACCAGGTTAGTTGGCTAACGCGACTAGAGAGTGCCAGCTTTGTGCAAACATAGCATCAGGCTGCACCACAAAACCTCCCTCTGTACTTGGCCACAGACCAAGCAGCAGCAAGTCTGACACAAAAGGAGTAAACTAGGCATTTAGGATTTGGTTGGCTATTTTAAAATACTTCAGATTACTGCTTCTATATCTATGCCCAAATACCACTTTACACAAACATTTAGAAGCATCATGGGGATCAGGCCAAATCATGCATTTTTTAAAAGAAAAAATAGAAGTAACTAATACAGTCAAGATTTTTGCTTAGATAGAAGGTATTACCCTATTACCTCTTCTCTAAGTTATTAGACTTTTAGCCTAAAATCATGGCCTCAGTAAAATCAACAATAAAATAATACTGATTTAAAGCAAGTGTCATTCTAATCATATAGCTCAAATAGGAGTCTTTTACCTTTACCTTAGAAGAAGGCTTTGTATCAACAGTAGATGTAGTTACTGCAGTGGATGCTTCACTGACCATACTTGAAGGTCTTTGGTTTATTTGTTGCTTTGACATAGATGAATTCTGCCTAGAAAAGATACACAAACGGGTACTCTAAAGCACATTATTTCAAACAGCTTTACTTTTTATACCTAGTATATATATTTGTTTATATAATTATTTATATAACAATATAATTTAATAAATATCACAAAGAAAACAAATGACAGGCTCATGAAGCACAAGGAAAGTGTTTTCCACGTGTCTGTCTGCAACTTCTCTTGCACCATCCATATTATTTTGATTCCAGGCATTTCCCAAGCAGATGCTACCAATGACGTCTGATGATTGATATTTGTAAAGATATCAAGAGGAAAAAGCTTACCAAAGAGTTTACAAATCCAACAAAGAATCAAGGTTTAACATAAAGCACTGAGAGCAGATAAAGTCAATGCATAATAAACTGTGCCCAGTTTAGAGACCTTGCTGCAAATGTATGGAAGAATTGATAGTGGTGAGGGAAGGATAGGAATCTATACAGATACTTTGCAAGGACAATTTTATTATTTTAAGGAAAGGTGAGACTAGCATTAGAATGACAGACTTTTCACTCTGCCCAAAAATATGATTCATACCACAATAGGAATTAGTAATGTAAGAATATCTTTTAAGCAGAATAATGTAATCCTGACAGGTATCTCTAGAAATAACTAATCTCTGAATCATAGAGAATGCATTTCCTATTCTCTGCACTATAACTATAGGCCAAGCAAAAACTGACACATTCAGTGAGCCATACTAGATTGCCCCAGCTGTCTCTTCTATGAAGGTGTGACCTGTTTCTCAAAGTTTCATGTTTGATTGTCTACCAAAGAAAGACCTGAAATACACAGATGTGCGCATCTCTGTTCTGTCTGTACCTGCACTAAAAACAAACCCTCTTTCCCACCACCACCACCACCACTCATTCACAGGCAGCAGCCAACACCTTTAGCTGAGTTTGTAGGAAAAAATCCTAGCATAATAGGCCATCCACTTAAATAACCCCCTGCCAAAACTGTGCTTCCTAGCCACTGAACTCCTCTGGTGGAGTCTTCCACTTAAACTGCCTTTATCTTGGTTCTATGATCCAACAAAAACACCAGCTCTGGTAACACGCAACAGCCAGCTAGCTGATCCTGGAACTGAAAACAAACAGCTGAAAGCAAACACCAAGCAGCTAACTGAAGAGAGCAGGGAAAGTGCAAAGAAGCTATAGAGCTTCATGCTTAAACACAGCCAAGACAGACCTTGGGCTAGAGTGATCCAGTGCAGTGAAAGCTACTGATTACGAAGGCAATATTTTTGCAAAAGAGAAAACCACCAGCACCTGCCAAAATCAAGATGTGGACCTCACGGCACATGCTAATACACACGCAGAAGGACAGGTCTGGCCCTGCACAGGAACTGACAGGGAACTTAAACACACGTTCTGTAAACACATGTAAAGAATTGGAGGCAAAGTGATGGACAGTGAACTGCCGCAAAGCTTTGGAAAATGAAGGGTGACATTTGGAAAAGCTAAAAAACTAACAAGTCTTTTTCTTTAAAAAGAACCAAATAAGTCTCTCGTCTTTCAGGAATATCTAATCTTCCTGTGAAACTGATGGGAGAAAACACTAGCCAAACTGTCTGGCATGGTTGCAGCTTAAAAAAAAAAAAAAAAATCTTCATTTGTGATTCATGCTGTACATGCATCATCTTCACTTAGCTGATTTTCTGCATCAAGATCAACTTTGTTAAGGGAGTTCTGCATGCATATTTTTGTGTACATATTTACGCAAGCTTTTTTTTGTTACATACTTGGAAGACATCATCCAGCAGTTCTACTTTCCTCAAGCATCTAAGTAATTGTCAGTCAGCACTTCAAGCTTTTAGAAGAATGGTATATTTGTCACTCAAATACAGAAAAAAACGGAGAGAGTAGCACACAAGTGTAATTCAAACCCTCTGCTAGTTTTACTTGTCAAAATAGGAAAGACCTTGACTGGACTTATCTTGAAAAACAGATTTTATTTTATTTTTTAATAAATGACGTGGATGACAGCAGCCACTGATATTGCTTAGGGTTAAGTCAGAAATTCTTTACATATAATAAAGCCACATGAGGGTTCCTCATTAGTTGGCCTCTCATTAATGTATTAGAAATACAAAGTACGAATATCATCATTTAGATTGTACCAGTGGAAACCATTTTAAAGCGTAAATTTTTATGTGCAGGTCAATATTTGCAACAGTAACCCTTCTCCTTTGTAAGGGAGAGGTGGCAGTTGTAAATAAAATATTCTCAATTCAAAAGCGTTACCCATAGACTTCTCAAAATCTGCCACTATTGCTTTTCCTTAATTACAACTGAATAATTATCTGTGCAAAAGCTTCTCCGGATAACATCACCGAAAGCATATTTTTTCCATTTTTGGTCACACAGTTTAAGTTAAGCTTTCAAGGAAACAATAACACAACTTGGATCCCATAACTTTATGTATCTGAGACAAAAATGATCTGCAGCGAGTCCTTAAAATCCCCTGGCAGTCTTTAACATGTGATAGAGTCAAACTGAGCTGATGAAGCTATTTACTTTATGTCTTAGGGACCGGATATCCCGTTTCAGCATGTAGATAGCTTTAGAAATATCCAGTTTCCACAAAGAGCAGATTAAGACATTTTCCGTATATAATGCTACCTAAGCCACTTCTGGCGACTGGTTAGTCTTATTATTTGCTTTTCACTTGATTCTCCTTTGTTCTCTTTCTAACCTGTACACTTTCCAAAGCAGGGGAAGAGGCAGACTTGCATTATCTTCTACTTGCAAAGCACGTTCCTTGTCTTTCCTTAATCTCTTCTTCTCCAAAAGGCGCAAAGAAACTAAACCTAGAGCAGGCTTCTCCCCTCATTGAAATACCTGAGAATGACAATTTCCTACTTTGCCTCCTCAGAATCAGTCTAAAGTAACAGAGCTAAAACCATTAAAAAGAACACACGGCCAGAGAAAACATTTGGCCTTTGAAAAAAGAAACTTTCTTCCCAATGGGGCCTTGTGGTTTAGATTCTCTACACTGTCCATACCACAAATTACTGGGTTTTATCCCATAAGACAGTCACACAATACATACTGCTGTCTACCTACACCTGGAGGCAGAAAAATAAACTTTATACATTTAACAAGACCATCACTCTTAGATGATCATAATGCAATACAGAACAATAGATGCACATTAAATTTGTAACTGTAGTTGTAAATTTGTAATTGTCTGCTTTGCCATTTATCAATATCTTTTCCACTTCTTCCTGAAACAAATCACTGTCAAGAAATTAAGCTTTCATTTGCCAGGATTATGAAGATTAATGATTAACTCAAATCCACAAGAAAAACAATTTTTTTCTTAAAGCATTAGGATGCTGCCATAGAAGAACTAACACAGCCAGCAAAACAGTGAGATGACCAAAACACACACAAAAATATTATTCTCCTAAAATGACGTGTTTAGTGGTAAAAGCTGATGATCCAAACTTTTGAACCCGAAACACACAGAAAATACCAAACAAAATTAAAGACGAATGTAGGTACTGATATACAGTATTTCAAGGGAAAAAAATATCATATTATAACAAACTTGCATCAGACTAGAATATAACCAAAATCAAATATTCAAGTTTCTTAACAGCTAACTGTTATTCTTTATCTATTTTAAATAGCAAAGAAAAATATGTAGAGTATTACTTGAAACTTTGCAGCATGTGACCTGAGTTAACACAGTCCTAACAGTGTCTACAGATTCATCTTTACAAATACGTGGATAAAGTATTAATCCTGTGCATTCAAAAACATTAGGTAGGAATCACTGATTTCAAATACTTGTCTTCACAGCACTGCTTTTGTTTTCCATTTTCTCAACTGTTTTCTTGCTGCCTTTCACAGATGTGTGCATGTCTGCACTAAACTGCAGCATGCATATGCAAGGTTCCAGGCTGTAGCAAGTCTTTGTGAAATACTTAAAACCAGCACTCTGTAATACTTCATGTCAAACAGCTCCCCACCATACCTAAACTGACATTGTAGGTTTACAGAAATCACATCTTATTAGCTAAAAGGACTATACGGCCAGTAACTGTTTTATTAAAAATAAAAACAAAACATTTCAACGTTTTACACCAGAGCCCATTGTCGAAGTGCTGTACTCACAACATAATGAATTCCTTTCTCTAAATGACCATGAAAAGTAGTCCACTTAAGACCCATATTTGTATAAACACCTTTTAAAGAAGGGTTATTTTGCTGCAACAAAATAGTAACGTGTTAATCTAGTTTCAATATTAACAAATCTCCCATCCAGCTAGCTATAAAATTAACTATCCTAATATTTCTGTGCATAAAAATATTCCAGATGTTTATTTTGAACTAGCTTGGGTTTTCTCCTTTCTCTCCACCTCTGATTTTTTGCTGCTATAGTAACTGAATGCAATACATAAAATAAAATGGTCTCTCTCTCTTCCTAAAGATGATGCACAGTTTTGTCAGTTGCGTAAAAACGGGCAAAACGCAGAAGATAAAAGTTCATTAAACACCATATACATATTTTCTACATTTATGCTTAAATATTGAAGTACTATCATCCCACTTGCAAAGTCAATAATACTGCTAATGTATTTTAAAGCTTCCAGCTTTAGCTCCCAACATTTAGCAAGGGTTCCAGTTAGAAGTGTTGCTATCAAAGTTGTTCTAAGCATCTTTTCCTTCCTTCCTGCACAGTTAAGGATTGTTACTTCAAGACCAGAAAAGGAATCTAAGCATTATATACTTAGAGTATATATATATACTATATACTCTAGACAATACTGTAACAAAAAATTTTCCAAAAAAATGCACATTTATTGAGGTGGTTAGGCAAATTTTAGATCTAACAGCTGTTTAGCAGCCACGTAGCACACAAAACAATGTGCTATTCAAAAGCATAGACTGACTTGTGCATAGTAAGAGACCACACCTTCCAATCTTAGAAATTAAAATGAGAGGTGAGGATTTTGACAGTGGTCTTGCAAACAAAGAATCAGTTGGAAAATAGGGATTTATTAATTGTTATTTCTCAAAACAAAAATCTAAATAAAAACACCTTGACAAAGCAGAAACTGCGAAAGGATCAGAAGACAGGTAATCTAACATCACAGGTTATAAGCAATACTCGCTATTTCATCCTTCCATTGCAGTGGACTTAAGGAAATTGGTTTTGGCTCAAAAAAACAAGATTAATGTGATACTGTATAAAAGGAGAAATGCCTTGGGAAAGAGCCCAATGCCTCAGGGAAGATACAGCCTCAGCCTGTCAGTGAAGGAATCCAGTCCTGGATGAGCAAAGGCCAGAGCAATCTATACATTTATTATCTCCAAATCACTATAAATTACTTTTGTGATGTGATCTCTTAATTGATATGCTTGCTGCAGCCTGAACAAGCTTGGGCTCAAGCCTCCCCAACAGCTCCCAGTCATCATCAGGTAACAATTTCAGACTTTGTCCCTAGTCTTAAAATAAAACTGACCTGCAAGTAGTACATCAAGTCACAACAGTATTATAGATCAAGTTCCTGTTTACAAACCCTTTAAGAGTGCTGCTACTATAGAAGACAAGATTCTTGAAGTGCAAGAAAAATGCACTGTTAGTCAAAAGGATCTCAAAATGCAAAAGTTTCTGGAGATTATGAAGTCTCGACCTAGAATTTAAGATGTGTGCTCTTTGCAAAAGCCATTTTATCATGAGATGCAATATATAATACCAATTCCAAACATACGACCTACAACCCTGATTTCCAAACAAATCCTTGATGACAGGCAGGATGTCCCTGCAGGACAGGGCCATTGCTCTTCCAGTTCACGCTGGTTCTCAACACGGGTGTTAACCCAGGCCCAACATTTAGTTTTGCGTCAGGCTTAATAACCACTTTTTTAAAGTAATACTACCTTAAATTAAATGCAAAACAAATCAAATGTCATTTCATATGAAATAGAAAGTGTTCGAAAGGGCAAGGGCAGCTTTAGAAATCACCACATCCAGACTACTACAATACAATGCCAAGAACCAATTAGTGGATGGTGTGGATGATGATGGTAGTAGATCCTTATGGTGGAAGATGAAGTAACCCAAATTGAAAGCAAACACCCACGTACACACTTTGAGCACATGCATTTAACCTTTTTCATCAGTCAATCAAGACGAAATACAATGGAAGCTAGTATCTCTTATTTTATTTTTCTAGAATAGATTTAAATCTATTTAATGAATGAGAATTTTGAATTAATACTGACCCAAAACGCATCTAGTGTAGAAAACCTGAAGCATTTAAAAACCCCAAGGGATTACAATGGAAACTGGTAATACTTTGTGTAATTCAGTTTCAATATAAACCTTTCAGTTTCCTGTAAGGGCATAACTTTTCTATTCTGTATACTTCACATTCATCTAAAGCTAAAGCAAAGGACCACTTTTTTGGGTTTTTTTGGTGGGTTTTTGTTTGTTTGTTTTTAATCTGGCAAATATTTCAGTCCTAGTTCTTATATATGCTTATATATGGAGATTTGCTAGAATCAGAAATACACTTTCATAATGAAAATTAAATTTTTAGGTATCAATCATTTGTATGGTATTCTTGCCACAGCATCAGAAGAACTGCCAAACTATGAATCTACCATACGTAAAAATGCTACTGTTTTAAATCTCTTGACATGGGTATAAAACTACTTACTCGTCTCGCAAAATAAATTCAATATTTTCTGGAGAAACCTGTCCTGTCACAGGATGTCTAAATGATGTGGTCTGTTGATTATGGCTGAAAGGAGAAAAAAAAAAAGTTATTATTAAATGCTAAACTTCGCAGAATATATCCATGATTCCTAAGAGGCAGGTCTGCTTTTATTGAGATTTTTCTGATGCTACTCCAGAGATGAAACATTTCTTTGGTACTTTTCAAGCCAGAAGTATTTTCAGCTCCTCCTTGCATTCTTGTTCAATGTGCCAATGGCACACTGCACTATTTAATTATTAACTGGGCTATTGTTTTAGAAACAAACTAGTTGCAATTCTTGCTTCAAGAGAGACACTTGAATTTCTGATTCCTGCTTCTGCTGCTAGATTTAAAAAATAGCAAAGAAATCACATAATGTAAATTACTGTCTTACATTTCTATAAATTTCACGGAACATAAGCAGGAAAATGACGCAGAATGCTGCTAGAGTATATTCATGTATTATGATCATACTCAAAAAATGAAGTCCGTAATACAACTTATTAAATGTTTTTTATTTTAAAGAACCAAAAATGAACACACCATCCACCTCTGTTTTAAAGAAAATTTGGGTCTTTTCCTGTCATGATGCCCAGTCATTTCAAGTAGTCCAATTCTCTAGCATTGCAAGATGCCTCCCAGAAACAAAATGCAGCATATGCACATATTTTGGGTCTTCAAAATAACAAGTTTCCAAAAAGATGAAAGTCTTTCTGTAGAATTTAGGAAAGCTTAAAACAAAAACAAAGAAAACAATGTCCCCTCTCCCCATCACCCTCCCTAAAAATCAACAGAACATACAGCCTTATAACACCCAAATCTAAGCAGCAAAGGACACGCCTCAATAAGGAAAGCGTGTTCTAGAGTCTCTTCTAGCCCGTCACAGGAAGTCCCACTGACACAAGGAACCGAAGCCAGGCAGAAAATGCTGCTTACATGGCATGTTCTCACCCCTTTTCCAGTGTACCTTGCTACAGGAAGGCCTACGCCATCCACCAACGTAATGAAAGTTTCTAGTGATAAAACGAGAGCTGGGCAACTTATATTACCCCAAAAGGACTTTCTCCAGACCTGTCTATTACAGAAGTTGCAGCCATACAGGCACAAACAGCTGTGACGAGCCCATCAGGCTCTCAGTGACCCCACTGCATTAGCAGCAGTGCTCATCTGGCCTGCTGAGCAGTGGCCTCTAGCAGGGAAAGCGGTTAATGAGTATCCCATGAAGTCAGACACGAGAAGAGAGGCTAGAGTGTAATCCTGCAATGCTGCTCTCCATAAAGCAACCATGATCTTTTTCTCCTAAATGTACTGAGGAATACTGTTCACATCCAGGAATACTGTCACACAGTCCGGGCAGTTTCAACCTAAAAATAGTTCCTTCCAAATGAGAACTGCAGCACCTTTGCTACTACCTAGGTTAGAACTACTAAAAAAAAGCCCGGACAATTGCAACATAGCAATGCCACATAGAAAGCACTAGGAGTTTTTACAGATCTTAAGTTATCTTCTATGAAAAATCCTAACATACCTTCAGGAGATCAGTTACTACTGTCACTACAATTAGATTAAATATTTCCTGCTATTGAAATAAATGTAAAATGGATATTAGAAAGTTCTTAAATGTTTGAGCAATTGTATTTTGGGACATTTTTCTACTTTGAACCATAGAAGTAGAGAAACAAAAGCATATCTATATAAGACAAAGATGCCCATTTCACAGACAAGGAGAACACACATACAAGAACAACATTTTCTGAAGATCTGCAACTTAAATACTTAGAGCTTGCCTAGAAGGAGAGATATGATCCACAGGCACCAACAAGTAGCTTTACAGAACACAGCGGCTTATGTAAATTAAGCAGCGAGGGTTTAACTCTTTGCTTCATAGGACTCATCGAGAATAAAAAATACTATTCAAAACATGCTATAAAACAGATGGTGAATGCCTTGCAACAAGGAAACTCCCCTTAGCAGGAAAAGATTTCTCGACAACAAATTGTCTAGCAACACTATGGAATCTCCATCCTTAGAAATATTCAAAATATGCCTGGATAAGGCCCTGAACAACCTAATCCAACTTTCAAGTTTGTTTCAAGCTGGCCTTGCTTTGAACACGAGTGGCTGGGCCAGATGCCTCCCAAGGTTCCCTCCAACGCACTACTCTCTTCCTCTGTCATTTGCTCCTTCTGTCTTTTTTTGCAACTATCATTTAATTCTTACCATTCCCTTGAACCTTTTCCCATTATTTAAATAGACCTATTCCAAGCACCAGCACCTTGATTATAATGAAACAAATCACGATGTCACAGGAGAGACGTTTAACAGCGATTATAACAATAAAATCTCAATGATCTTGTAAACTAGTTATAGTGACACAGTTATCCTTCCTTTCCATGCACAGATTATAGAAAAACCTAGCACTACTGCTCTTCAGGCACAGAAACTTAACAAGCCCCCTGGGTAGTCAAACACCTGCATTTCCTCCAAACAATTTCTTCCTCTTTATTTAGTAAGACGTGTGTCCCAGGCAAAGCTTTTCCTGTTGTTAGGGACACTCATCATGTGCATGGATCTGTCTCATCCCCTCCCTATCCCTAGTTGGATTCCTTGATGTTTCACAGCATCAGTGAGGTTCTAGCAGTACTGAGGTCACTTGAATGTTGGGTTTCTTTTCTTCATAAAATTGAGAAACAAGCACCTCTGCCAAAACCAGCTGAAATTGGTTAACAGGCTTAGAAATTACTAGAGAGTGACCAAGTGCCCTATAATCCTGCAAACTTCATCTCTCCAGATATCAGGCCAAAGAATAAACAGGAGCATTGGCATCGCACTCCCTGAAACACACTAATACAAACAAACCACAATCCCCACAGCACGCACCTCTTCTTGCGGGCCAGCTGGTTGTGTTTACTGGCTTCAGTATTCCTAAAAGTTCCTGCATTAGTAACACACTGTTCCAGTGTACCTTGTGGTCACTTCTGAAACACTTCAAACTCCGGATAGTTTAAAGGACAGCTTAAACAACAACCAGTAAAAAAAAAAAAAAAAAAAAACCCACATCAACAATATTATTTCCTTCGGTTTGCATAATTCTAGACTATTATAAATAAGTTCCTCACTTCCCAACCTCATCCAACTAGTCATATTAGATAAAATGTGATGTATCTCTTCAAATTAAATGCTTTTACAAAGGGAAGTATTTATTCCTGCAAAATATTAAGTATAAAATTGACTGAAGTACTCCTGAAAGAAACCCAACATCAGGCTTTTGCTCCAGGGAAGACTAGCAACACAAGACCATCTTCCCTACAGTAAGGAGCATAAATTAATATATTCTTTTAGATTAGTTCTTCAGAGCTCTGAGTTACATAAATACTAGCTACTTTCTTTCCAAAGAGACTCAGCACTTGCAGAGAAGAAACAGGGAGCGATGCAAAAGCCACCACCTCAGAGTCAGCTCCCAGAGCCCTCCTGCTGGCCCCCATGGAGCCGCCTCGTGGGTAGCACGCACAAAATGCACCATATTGGCAAGAACCTCTCATTTCAGAGAGGGTTGTCACCAGCTGAAAAGCATTATAGCTGCCACCGCCATTAAGAAACTTCCCAAAGGTCACAAAAAGTGGTATTTGCACTGTCACTTAAAAATAAGAGCAATAATGCATTCATTCCAACATTCAATTAATACAGTATTATAGGTGACCCTGCGTGTGCTGTGAGGTTGGACTAGATGATCTCTAGAGGTCCTTTCTAACCTTAATGATTCTATGATTCTATTATGAGTCATCAAGCATCAAATGTGGCCTTTTATACACCATATGAAATGCTTCTGAGCATAACTATAAAGCAACTATAAAGCTGATAAAAATTTACTAAAAAAGTATGGTGTTTACCCAAATATTTCTATATACGGTTAGCCAGGCATGCTCCCACTGTGTAGTGAGATACACAAGATAATTCATAGCTTAAAACTAACTTCAGTAAACACTTCAGGAATTAGAAGTGTAAGATGCATTTAAAAAAATTCTGGGAGTGGGGCAGGGCAGGGAGACTGTATAATGCAATATGCTTAAAAATGCTACTGGAATTTCTCTGCTTGGCTGACTTGAGGCCATTGAGTATTCTGCATGTCCATGAAGATGTTTCTCTGTAGATTTTTTCCTTGACAAAGTTGGATTAAGGTCCTTGGCCACTGATGTAGGTGTAACAATCCTTTCTTTATGCTGCAGAGTTAATTTTTAAAGAGATGTTTTCTGGATAATTTCATAAGCTATAAACATATTCACACTAACATGTCTATAGATTTAGACGCAAGCATCCTCTTTGGCATCTATGCAAGGGAAAATATGGTAGATATACCTCCATGTACTCTAATAGATAACATTTCTAACAACCAAAAAAAGATACTAAGAATTTCAGTGTACTGAACGCTTGGAAATCCCTTTTTTTTTTCCCACCCGCTTTTAGCACTCATATGTAACTCAATGCAGAAACCACAAGGCAAAAAACCTAGCCAATGAACTGAAGAAAGAGCATGCAATTATTTTCAGTCACTTAGTGCCTCCTCCCCAACCTCACAAAGGTTCTGTAATCACAGACATCAAATGACGAGACCCATGAGAATGGGTTAATAGCAATGTACATTACTAGCATAAATGACACTATCTTCAGTGCATTAAATGTTTAAGTGAGTGAACAAACCAGATCTATCAAATTTATGATAGCTCCACATAACCACGGTGTGCCATTTCTTGATTCAACACTCATACTGCACCAGCAGAAGGTACAAATTTATTTGAGCAGAGCTTTGCCATAAAATAGGAGCAGACAGCTATGAGAAAAGCTGCAGCGAAAACAACAGTCATGGAAGAAGCGTTGCACTTTTTTTAGAGTCACCAAACAGACATATTCATGGTGCCCACACAGTCAGCTCAGGATGAGCTGGTAGAAGACAAAGCTGACGACAATATGAAGATCTAGTGACTAAGAAGAATAGCATGGGGAATATAAGAGAACCATTTTCACTCTCAGTCTCACACATCGCTTTA